TCATGAATTGATTCTTCAAACTTTTTCCGATGAGCTGTGAACTCTTGGATACATGTCTTACTTTCTAGGTTCCATAAACGTATTGAACAGTCATGACCTATATAAAAAAATTAATTAATTAATTGATTGATTGATTAATTTTTTTTAAAAACTACATTAACATGAAAATGATAAGAATAAATAAATTATCCGTAGCTGATGTACTTACTGCCAGACATCAAGTACAGGCCATTAGGATCAACCGCTAAACTTGTAACGGCTTCTAGGTGGGCTACCATTGAGTGGATGAGTTTGCCTTTGGAAAAAGAGATTGTTATTCTTTATTAATAGCTTTCCACGAATATATGCCAGTTACTACGTTATACTGGTTTCTTCAGTCACCCCTCTCTGTGCACTTACTGCATCAATAGCTTTTTTTCATCACTTAGAACAGATCACCCTCCCTACTCTGGCCATGCTCCTGATGAGAAACAAAAGCTCAAATTCCAGGTTATATTTTTGTCTTTCAAATCACAATATAAAAGTCAGTAATTTGTAAACAGATATCCCTTTAAGCCATGTGCATCAACTAGAACTCAGACATTAACCACCTACTTTGCATCCTTTAGCTACAAGAAAATTATATGGATTGTGGGAACAGAAGAAGAGACTGATACAAAGATAAAGGAACAGAGAGAAAACTGGCCATAATTTTGGTGGAGACAATATATTCTAGAGTTTGAGAACATTAAATTACTCATCACTCACAGCTAAGCAAAGTCAGCAAAAATCAACGTATTTACAAACCCAATAGCGGACACTCAGGTAAATATGGCTGATAACACAGTGTTTTTTCCCAGCAGAGCTCTTCATGAATTTCCTTTAGACTAGTGAAATGTAATTCAATAAAAAATGGAAAAGGCCCAATTCAAATCAATGAGCACCAAATAGTCAGTATTATAATGCAGAAAAGATTAGTCCATGTGAAAATGAATAAAATATAACCAATGACTCAGGGATTTTCCATCTGAACACTAAGGCTATTCAAAAACGAATAATTTCAAACAAAATATAGTGATCATAGATGCCTTTACTTATACTTTCTCTCAGTATATTCACAGTAAGAGATCATTTTTATTGGTATTTGAATAAAATTTTCATTATGTTCCTACTGATAACCTTGACTCCAGGGCAAAAATATAGCATGTACTTAATATTAAATAAACTAAGATAATTCTATATGATATCACAATAAGTAGTTCTCAGCAGATCTAAATGAAATGATCAGGAATTGAGCTAGGAGAGTACCCATATTTCAGTGCCTGATGATAAAGTCATGGACAGATACCAAAATCAGCCTACACAGAGTGAAGACTTTCTTTTTTGCTTTAATATTAATCAATTTTTAATACATTCTTACCTGTATTGTTATCATAGAATTTGATGTGCCTGTCTTCATGAGCAGTGATGCTGATGGGAAGAGTGGGGTGACTAATGACTCTATTTATTTGGCAGGAAGAGTTGGCTGCTAAAAAGAAAAAATTAAAAACAACACAAATTAGTCAAAGCTACTATTTCTTCACACAAAAGAGAACTGAATACTCTCCTAAGAGACTGAAAAAGTAAATGATGTCACTTTAGTGTTTTAGTTAGTTTATTCTGAAATTGTGTTCATAATTTTAATGTTAGGAAATGAGAGCTGCCAGAGCAATACTATTCTGATAAATCTAGAGGCACTACCTGCTACCTATGTTTAGCAACTTCAGCCTAAACTGTGATTGTCTGGATTAAGAATAAAGATAGGAAGCAATAGTTAAAAAAGCCCCAAACAAAATAATTCTGTAGTATATTCTTCACAACCTGAGAAATTATCTCCTGGCTTCCTGTATCCAATAAGAAGCTTCAGATTTGGGATTTTGAGAGGCACAACTTAATCTATATTCTAATCAGTAAGGAGCAGTGTCAAATTATATCTTTAATATAAAGTTAAGTTGGTTGAAAAAATACTGTGAGAAATGAAAAATAGTTTATATTCCAAATAAATATTTTCTTCAAACAAAATTGAAAACTAATCATTTGGCATAAAATCAACTTGACTCCTCTTTGGAATAAATAGGTCAAATGCTATTTCAAACAGTATAGGTATAAATGTGCATAACCTAACCCAAAGACTTAAAATCAATTGTAAGTCATTATAGCCTTCTAATGAAGCAACTATGTTCTGTGATTTAGCAGGCTGAAGATTTTAGAATGATAAGCATTTTTCAGAGTCAACTCTTTCACTGTGATGAAGACTACTTAAAGACTATTATACATACTCGTATCTAGATTGGATTCTAAAGTGAGAATCCGTTGTTGTGTTTCCATGTTAAAGATGCTTGTATATCCTTTGCTGAATGATGCTACCATAAGGCTCGGGTCACTGCTTACTAGATCCACAGAGGCAGGGATTCCAAATTCTAAAAAAGTCAGAACATATTCATAGAGAATGCTAATTAGAGGGTCTTCTTAACAATGTGCTTAAAATATAGCAAAACAAATAATAGCATGATTTCTTTGAGGAGTAAATAAGGCTCGACATTAGGATAAGAATTTGCCCACTGCCATTCAATGGAGATTATTTCTTTTTTTTTCTTTTAGCCCTAGCCTATTTCATTACTCTTACCTGTTCAGCACATCTTCTACCTATTGCTCACCTAATACATAAATGGAATGCAAGCCTTTATTCAAAAAATAAATGAAAAACATGTATGGACTACAAGTTTTGCTGCTTCTACCTCAACCTGGAGCTTAGAGCGGCATCATTGGAAATTCTTCATTTTAAAAGCCCATCTCTTAGTAGGAATTCTAACTTATCAAAAACATGGAATTTAAGAAATAAAGCTCCAAATTGTTACTGGTAATCATGCAAATATTAAATGCAGGCAACTCATCAAAACCTAGACACACATTATTATCACAGCTCAAGAATAAAGAAGGTATTTTTATTTATCATCTATAATAGGTAAAACTTGGTTAAAACTTGAAGCTTATTTATAAACATAAAAAATAGAATATGTATTTATGAATATAACCTGATTTTTCCATTTGGTTCAAAATCTAGCTAAAGCAAACAGTTTAAAAATGTGTATATTACAGAAGATATATTAATGGCCAATAAGCACACAAATAAAGTGCTCAAAAGAATTAGCCACCAAAGAAATGCAAATTAAATCACAATGAAATACTGCTACACATCAGAATGGCTAAAATTAAATAGACTGACAACACCAAATGTTAGTAACTAAGGATGTAGAACAACTGGAATTCTCATACATTGCTGTCAGCGGTGTAACATGGCATAACCACTCTGGGAAAAAGTCTGGCAATTTCACATAAGGTCAAACACACAATTCTACTCCAAGCCTTTACCCACCTATAATAAAAACATATGCATGTTCACAGCAGCTTGTTCAAAACAGTCAAAAACTGAAAACAATCCAAATGTCCATTAAGAAGTAAATGAATAAACACACTGTGGTTTAATAAAATACTACTAAATATAAATAAATTATTGATACTTACTACAACATGGATGAATCACAAAAATATTATCGTGAGAGTAAAAGGCCAGACACAAAAAGAGTACACATTTTATGATTTCATTTATATGAAGTTTTAGAATAGACAAAACTAATCTATGATGAAAGAAATCACAACAGTGGGTACCTGTGGGTGGGAATGGGGAGAGGGGATGGACTGGGAAGATCATAAAAAAAGTTTATGGAGGTAAACGAAATGTTCTATATCTTGATGCAAGAGTTATGCATTTGTCAAACTCATTAAAATGTATTCTTATAATTTATATACAGTAAAAACCAGATTATATCTCAACTAAAAATTTTTTAAAGATGTGTTCTTTCACCAAATACTATGTTTTTAAAACTTATACATAATATTAGTAAGTTGAAAATTCAAATATACATATTTTTACAACTTCAAAAACCCTTCACTTATGGTAAAATCCAAAGGACTTTCCCTTCCACATTGAAATAAAGTAGCTTTAATGCCCCCCAAAAAAGAAAAAACAAAAAAAACCCCTTTAAATTAAATTTAAACTGTAAGAGTTTATGGAATCATTTATTTATTTGCATGCTTGTTTTTATAATAAGACATAGATAATTTAGAATTTTATAAAAGATTCAGTGAAATGATTTTAAAAGTATGTACCTTGATTATCATTAAACACACTTAAGGCTGGAGCAACCTCCGTTGTGTTCCATAGACGAAGAGTGCCATCTGCTGAACAGGACAGCAAACGCTGGTGAGCTGCACTGTAAGCCAGACCCCAGACGGCGTCGGTGTGGCCGAGCAGAGGGCCCCTTAGAACAGAAGGGTCTACAGAGAACAGCAAGAAGGCAAAGTCAGGAGAAAGACAACTTACAAAGGAACTTAGAGTCCAGAGAAAACAAAAGGACGATAACAGTATAAAATATGCTTCCTACTGTCTATAATTTTTTCTGAAATGCTGTAATTAAAAATAGACTTGGAAATATGCAAATGTAGGGTTTAAAATTTAGAAATTAAAATTACAAAGTACACATTTTTCTATTTTAAAAAATTAGGCATTTCATTCTCCCTCCCTTTTTTCTTCCATTTGTCTAGATATTTTAAAGAGCATGTTAACACAAATAAATCATCTGAATTTAACTACTTCAGAGAAAACACACTCACATTCCCTGAGAACATGAAGAGAGATCCCTCCCTCCTCCACCTCCTGGAGCACTGTGGACATACTCCTTCAGGCCACTTATCCCACAGTACCACGAACGGCAGTTATTCCTGGGAGCAACGGGCCTCTGACGTAAAGGACATGAACTGAGACCTACAGAAACCCCCAAATTCTCAAACAGCAGTAACTGACATATGAATGATGTGCAGGGGGGAGAGGGAGGGAGGAGGCAGGGAGAGGGTCACTTAGCACTATTTCATGATAAAAGTCAAATTTCAAACTATTAATCCTCACCTTCAAGATGGCTCACAGAGGTTAAGTTTAAAATGTTACTGTTGTTATCTATCTGTCCCATATCCTCTCTCAGTTATACCCTAAAGTACTTATTAAAGACATACTGGTGTTAGGCACTATGCTATATGCCAGGCCACACAGATGATTAAGACACAATATCATCCTTGTCCTCAAGACAGTGTGACAAGTACAGTAATAGTGACAGAAATCAGTTACATGGACAGTAACTGGGATGAGCGAAAGCTTCTTAGGGAAAATGACACCTAGATTGAACAATGCAAAGAATGAGTTAGGGCCTAGACCTTGATAAATGCCAATATTTAAGGTAAGAAAAAGAAAAGGAGTTTATGAAGGATAGGGAACAGAAATTGTCACAGAGTTACATGTCAAAAACGCCGTTAAAAAAAAAACAAAAAAAACCAATAGTGGACAAATTTAAAAGAGGATGGAATGGTCCACAGTTTCAGAGAGCCAATACATCTAGTAAAACAAGGACTGTAAAATATCCTTTGGATCAGGACTGAAAATCTTGTTATACTTCAGTGGTGTGACCAGGAATACAAAGGGAGGTGGTGCCCAGGGAAAGGACATGGAATTATTAACTAGTGACGGTGTTTTCCACCATCAAGGAGACAGAGATGGTGAAGGAAAGAGAGTCTAAACAGAAGCCAGGGAGGGAAATAAAGCCAGAAAAGGTTTCCCCTTGCTCAGGATGGGGGATACCTTAATTTATTTATATGCTCAGGGGATGAGAAGAGAACAAAGAGATTAAAGATGAGAGCCAGAGAGACCTGGGGTGGAGAGTGGGTGAGGGTACCACGCAGCCTCAAAGGAAACAAGAGACAATGGGGTCAAGAGCAAAAGCAGAAGGGTTGGCTTGGGACAGAATGAGGACAACTGATCGATCCTGTTAGATAAAGAAGTAAGGAAAAGCATAAAACACATAAATGAGCAAGAGAACTGGGAAGAGAGAGGAGGTTCACCTCTCACAAAGATATATGTTAAATGCTTATTAAATAAATGTTGGAAAATTTTTTTATTTATTGAATTTCTTATCTTTACTTCGGTTTGGTGATAAAATTAATCTAAAGTGATAATGAAAATAAAATATGGTTTAATGGTAAATATGAATGACACTTTGTACCATTCTAGAATTTAAGAAAACACCAAACAGTCAATTCCTAAACCAGTTTTTACAAGGAATTTTATGTAATAGCTAGTGACAGATTATAATAAGGATTTGTGCCTCCTGGAGCTTCTGAATTTATGACCTTTCAAATATTTTGGTGCCATGGACTGGAAAAGTCATTAGCCTCTATGCCGTCCAATAATTGAACAAGAAGATGATGCCAACATGCATTTTCCTTCAAAGTTGTTTATTAGGATAGTGATGAAATATGATTACAGATTAGTAATAATGTATCAAGTACTGCTCAGATGCCTAAAATGAGGAAAACAACTGTCAATCAAGCCAGCAGCTCCCATCAATAAGACTTTGGGTGTTGGGAACTGTTTACTCAGGAAGAATACATTTTTCCTCTTACATTATATATCAAATTGGTTCTTAAATATAGGAGGAGTTCTTTTGAACAAAATAAAGATATAGTTCTCTTTTATCAATTTATTTTTTAAAATATCTCATTTTCTCCTTTAATGCTATATAAAATGTATAAAAAGAAAACATTTTATTCTTTCATATCTTTGGAGACTCACATACCATAGGAGTCATAGGGGTCGATGTTGGGGTTGGTCGTGTTCCAGCCCTGGATCAGTCCATCGGTACCACCACTGTAACACTGCTCACCGTTGCTGCTCATCACCACACAGAGCACTGGACCTCTGGGAGATAACAATCAATTTCTAGTCTCAAAAAGAATCTGATAATAAGACTTACTAAAATTAAGAATACTTAATTATTCAAATGGCTTTCTATTTTTTAGCTTTGTACAATGAATGATACTATCAAAGCATTGTTCATTTTTCTACGTCTACTAAACCAAAAGTTGGTAGACGATGGCCCATGGGCCCAAACCAGCCAAGGTCTGCTTTTAAACAATCCTCAAACTAAGAATGTAGCTTACATTTTTAAAAGGGTTATAGGTCCAAACTAAACTAAAATGTGTGTGTGTGTGTGTGTGTGTGTGTGTGTGTGTGTGTGTGTGTCTTGCAAAGCCTACAAATATTTACTATCTAAACCTTTATATAAAAAGTATTGTGGCCCTAGCCAGTTTGGCTCAGTGGATAGAGTGTCTGCCTGCAGACTGAAGGGTGCTGGGTTTGATTCCAGTTAAGAGCACATGCCCAAGTTGCAGGCACGATCCCAGTGGGGGATGTTCAGGAGGCAACTGATCAATGATTCTCTCTGATTATTGATGTTTCTATCTGTCTTTCCCTCCCCCTTCCTCTCTGAAATCAATAAAAATATATATATATTTTAAAAAGTATTGTGATCTCTGTGTTACAAAGCAAGTGACCATGGATATTCCTTAAGCTTAACAGGAAAAGCAATATGTGATCACAATAACAAATTCTTGAATATTTTTATGTAGGTTATCTTTAAGGCGAAAAAAGTTAGGATTTCTAATATTTCAACCTAATTGCCTCAACTTTCTTTTAAGAAAGATATAAACATTATTTAAACATCATGCAAATAAAATATAATTTCAGCAAGGATCCCTATTTGGTAGTGATAAACTTATTTTTAACATTATCTGCCCGTTTCTTTTACAATTACAAAAAACGTTACTAAATACAAAAATACATAACACAAATACATAAGTGAAAGAAAATAAAATATTCTAATCTGGCTGATTTATAGTGATGTTGATTTTTTAAAAAGCACATACTTACTTATGAGCCCTGAATGTATAGATAGGCTCCACATCAAGAGATGTACTCCTAAATCAGAGAGAAAAGACAGCTTTTACCTCTCTAAGTTTCAGCAGTAAACAATATTACTGAATTACATCATAAATTCTGGATTCAATTTCCAGTGCTATCAGGCAAATTATTTAATCTTCTGGAATTTCAGATTCCTTTATGTTTAAAATAAAACAAACAAAAAATAGGATGACACCAAATACAGGATTAAATGAGATTCTACAAGAAAAACAGTTTAGGACAGGACCGTGAACTTTCTGTAATTTCCTGGTATTTCCATGCGGGTTAATATGTCTGTCCTTAACACTTACAGAAACTGTCCAAGTCATCAGTTCATTCATTACTCAGAATACGAGTGTATGAGTACTCTACAGTGCCTAAATTAGCCATGACTGTTAATGGAAACTGGATTTAAAGTCCAATACTGACCATATCCTACATTGTATGCACATTTTTATAGGCATATGGTCTCTCTCCTCCAGTCATATCCAAAGTTTCAAGTTCAAAGATGAACAGGACACTGTTATTTACAAGTGAAGGTATTATTACTAAGCTATCACCAACAAGAAACGTGTTTCAATATTTTTCTTAAAATTTAGTCAAGAATATATGCTGACACATTCACATTCTCTAGTCTAATGTGATGCCCACTGTGACCAAAGAACCAGAAAGACAAAGAGCACAATTTATAACCAGAAGTAATTTTTTTATCTGATCTGGTGCAGCTGACAAATACTGATAAATCAAGTATTTATCTAGTCTATATATGACTCAGCAGCAGGACTGTCATTGATCTCTTTTAAATGGGCAACAGATATCCTCTACCAATAATAAAAATTCTGTAATCTCCTCCATTTGAAATTCATTTCTACTCTTCTAATAACAGAAATGCCTGACACTATAGAAGGGTCTTTGCTGGCAGATGCTGGGTTCTGGATCATGTGACCCAAGGAAGAAAGGAGCTCCAATAAGGACCCCAACAAGTGAGATTAGGGCTAGTTTGGTGACTGATAAAAGGGTTTGCACCAACTCATGTCTGTCCATGTCTACAGAAAAACCAAGGGGGCCAAGCCTAGCAGTTATACGATGGCAACAACACTGCCTTCTAGTCTAGACATCTTGGTACATATAGAAAGTATGGAAAGTACCTAAAGGGTCAAGGCAAAAAGACAAGGCCAAAGAGGGTCCCCCCTTCCCTCCCAATTAACCTTCCCTCCCTTCCACTCCAAAAGTCCAAAGCTTGGAAACAATGGAACAGATTGGGGTGGAGTGTGATAATCATACATGCCTATACCTATTTACAGCAATAGGAGAAATTTCAGTACATTTAAAGGGCTCCCCAAATGTGACAAACATTTAAAATACTGTATAAGGATTGTAATCAGGATTCCTGCGGAACCAGATCACACCATTCCTCCCTAAGTGTCAGTTTTCTAACCTAGTATTAGACTGTGGGTATAAAGGGGAAACCACTCTAAATTATATGACATGGTGAAGAAAGAACAGAAGAGATATATGGGAATTCAATAGTAAATAATAAAGTCAGTATTTTTCTGCTGAAAATCTGTTAATTAAAATATTCAAATAAAGTTAAAGTAGAATATTCTCACTTTTTGGCTGGGGCTGTTTTCTGTAAATTCCACATTTTTAATGTGTGATCTTCTGATGCTGTTATCAAAACAGGCTCAATGGGGTGGAAAGCAAGGGCTCGAATGCCATCAAAGTGACTTCTTAACGTAAATTTAGGGTTCCATGTCTTCCTCAGTGCATCTTTATTATTTGCTATCTATTAAAGAAACAAAAGAAAAATATCTATACATTTAGATCAGGATAGAGAAAAAAACTATATTTCAACATTAATTCTTGCTGATTTATCATTAAGCCATCCCATTTTGCAACTTTCAAAAGAATATAATTTTTAAATGTAAATAACCAAATCAATAAGCAAAATTAGTAATAGGTCAACAGTGGTTTTCTTTGAAGAAATATAAGCACTATAATAAGAAAACAGGCTACAATCCAATACAGAAAGAGGATGAAATAATTTCATAAGGTAAAATAAATCTTCAGTAGGATGATTAAAAACAAGAAGTAATTTCAACCTAAATTATTCATCCTAATACAGAATTTTACCTAATTTTGGGTAAAAGTTGAAAAACCAAATTATCTTTAAACATGTTAACATTATAGAATATTATCAAACTTTTGAGATTTTCAATACTCTCTAATAACTAAATTTTTTCATCAAATTGGTAAAGTTTATAAACTGGAAACATAAAATGTTAAAATTAGAAGAGATAATCAAATGTTACAAAAATAGATTTCACTGATAAAACACACACATCATTGTGTTGTTTTTCTCCACATAAACTCCATCTCAACACTGAAAAAAAAAGCACAATGTTTTCATTTCAAGTAACAGGGAAGCTAACGAGGTTGGTCTATGACAGTGATGGCGAACCTTTTGAGCTCGGCGTGTCAGCATTTTGAAAAACCCTAACTTAACTCTGGTGCCGTGTCACATATAGAAATTTTTTGATATTTGCAACCATAGTAGAACAAAGATTTATATTTTTAATATTTATTTTATATATTTAAATGTCATTTAAGAAAGAAAAATCAACCAAAAAAATAAGTTCGTGTGTTACCTCTGACACGCGTGTCATAGATTCACCATCACTGGTCTATGACTTTACACTCGCACCATGTATGAACTCTTCACACTCCAGGTGCAGATCCAGGGGAAGACAGAGTCTAAGAAGGAGAGTCTGATACTTGGAGTTTTTCCCCAGACAGTGTTTACTGACACCAGAGTGGAAGGCTGAAAGGTGGAGCTGTGCTTCTGACTCCTCTGCAGTACAGGGGGATGCAAACTGGTGTCCAAAAACTGGGGCTCGGTGAACTACCTTGCTTTGGGTTTTGATTTCAAAGGGCTGCATCCTAGACATAAGAGTAAACTGGAAGAACACAAGCCTTTGCAGGGACTGCAGATGAGCTATATATAGATCATGTCCAAACCTGAAAATGGAGTGAGGTGATACAGATTTCTAGTGGCTGTAGGCAGTTGATAGAAGCAAATTAAAATATACTCTCTGGGGGAAGATACCATCCTAGGCTCAAAGTTATTCTACAGACCATTTTTCAAATATAGCTGTTTGGACATAATAAAAGGTAACTGTGCCCATATAAGATAATCCTATCTAATAAAGAGGGAATATGCTAATTGACTGCCCCACCCTCAAAGATGGCAGCACCCACAGCCAATAAGAAGGGAATATGCTAATTGACCGCCCCACCCTCAAAGATGGCAGTGCCCATGGCCAATAAGGAGGGAATATGCTAATTGACTGTCCCGCCCTCAAAGATGGTGGCACCCACAGCCACAAGATGGCGGCACCCAGTCCGCTCAGCCCCACTGGGGCGGCAGGCTCGAGCAGCCACTCCGCATGCCTGCCTCTGGAGACCCCCAGCCCCTCAGCCTCGGATGGCGGCTGCCCAGCTGCCCAGGGCCACCCGAGCCTCAGGTAACCAGGGCTGGCCGAGGCTTGCGCTGCCGGCAGTGGCAGCAGCAGAGGTGTGATGGGGCGTCGCCTTCCCCTGATCGCCGGGTCGCCTCCCACCCCTGAGGGCTCCCGGACTGTGAGAGGGGGCAGGCCGGGCTGAGGGACCCCCTCCAGTGCCTGAATTTTCATGCACCAGGCCTCTAGTAAAACATAAATGAAAACAAGCAGAAACAGCACATAATAGTAACAGAACTAGAGTTTCTGATTCAAATTTTAAAATAATCATGCTTACTATGTTCAAGAAGATAAAAAGGCAAAAGTTACAATTTTGGAAGAAATCTGTAAACAATGAGGAATTCTAGAAGCAAAAATATAAGGCCTCAATCAATTAGTTTAATTACAAATTTCACATAACTGAAGAGAAAAGTAGTGAACTGGAAGATGGGGGCCATAAAATAATCTAGATTGAAGTATGAAAAATACAGAAAAAGGAAATAGGAGACAGAGGCTATAGAAAAAAGATCTAACAATATAACTAGAGTTATATTATGGAGGGGACAGAGATAAATAGAGTAGTGCAACAGCAGTATTTGAAGATAAATGGCTGAGAACTTTACAAAGCTGATGATCTAAGAAGTTTAATAAAAAGAAAACTAAACCTTGGTTGACAATCAGGACATAGGGAAATATCAGTCAGAGGAAAAAAATAATCAGACTACCATTGTATGACCAACAGGAATGACAGTTGATTTTAGCAGAATACAACAAAAAAGGACAATGAAATAATATATCAAGAGTGCTTAAAAAAACCAAACCCTTGGTAATTGGAATTCAATACTAGAGATGTTAACCCATTTAGGTGAAATAAAGAAAATTTAAGAAAACCAGAAACAGATTACTGGCCACCAGTAGATAGATCTTCACTAGAGAGAGAAATATGAAGTGTTCTTAGAATAAAGGAAAAGTGATCCCAGATGGACAGTCAGACACACAGGGAAAATGGAAAAAAGCAAAATGAATAGTGTAAATGGATAATCCTAATTTAATATCGAGTGTACAAAGCAGTACCTTGTTGGAGATAAATGTATAGAGAAATAAAATATATAACAAGAATGACATTATACACAGGGTGTGAGTTTTGTTGTTTTTGTTAATCTTCACCTGAGAATATGTTTTCCATTGATTTTTTTGGAGAGAGTGGAAGGGAGGGGAAAAGGGGGAGAGAGAAAGAAATATCAATGTCAGAGATATTTGCCTCCTGCATGCACCCTGACCAGAGCTGGTGATCGAACCTGCAACCATGTGCCCCCTTGACCAGAAACTGAATCCTCGACTGGAATTTGCAACCCTTCGGTGTGCAGGTCAACGCAGTCTAACCACTGAAAACACTGGTCAGGGACAGGGTAGGAGTTCTAAAAATAGAGTTAAAAATGTTCAAAAGGTATGTGAATATAATATTTTTTAAAAATATTTTTATTGATTTCAGAGAGGAAGGGAGAGGGAGAGAGAGAAGCATCAATGATGAGAGAGAATCATTGATTGGCTGCCTCTTGCACTCCCCCCACTGGGGATCAAGCTCACAACCTGGGCATGTGCCCTTGACTGGAATCGAACCCAGGAGCCTTCCGTCCGCAGGCCGATGTTCTATCCACTGAGCCAAACCAGCCAGGGTGTAATATTTTAATTGTAACCTCTGGGGTGATAATTAAAGGAGTAATCTATATATATAAGATCCTAATATGCAAACTGTCCCCGTGGGAGTTCAACCAGGAGATTGATCCCTTGCTATGATGTGCGCTGACCCCCATGGGGCAGCATGGAACGAAGGAAGGCCCCAGCCAGCAGCTGGCAGCCAGGGAAGGGAGGCCCCGGCCGACAGCCAGAAGGCCCTGATTGGTCCTGATCGCCAACCAGGCCTAGGACCCTACCTGTGCACGAATTTCATGCACTGGGCCTCTAGTTAGTGTATAAACTCCAAGGAATGGGGGAAAAGGAGAATAATAAAAAATAATCAATCCCAATGTAGGCAAAAATGCCGGGGTCCAGCCCCAGCAGGTCCAGGGGTTCCCCAAAGGTGTGGACGGAGTCGGCGAAGAAGGAATGACACGGAGACAGCGTTCAGTTGATCAGCAGCCTAGCCAGAATCTCTAGCCAGGATCTCCAACCAAGTTCTGGTCTGGATCTCCAGCGAAGTTCTGCTTTGGATCTCCAGCCAGGTTCTGTGTCCATGTTCTCTTGCTAGGTTCTCCAGGTTCTCCAGCCAGGTTCTGTAGCCAAGTTCCCTCGCTAGGTTCTCCAGCCAGGTTCTGTCCAGGTTCTCCAGCCAGGTTCAGTTACCAGGTTCTAGTCAGGTTCTCTTGCCAATTTCTGTAGTCAGGTTCGGTCCAGGATCTTTTGCCATGTTCTCTCGCTAGGTTCTGTCTCTAGGTTCTGAGGCCAGTTTCTGTCCAGGATCTTTTGCCATGTTCTCTCCAGCGAAGCTCTTCTGTCTCTAGAGAACGTTCTGTGTAGGTTCTGTGCCTAGGTTCTGTCTCCCTTGGTTCTGTCTTCTTACATCTGTATTTATACCAGTTGATTCCAATCCTATCAATCTCTATTTCAAAGGTTAGGGCATTTCTTATCTCCATTCTAGGGAGTAAAGATTATGTAGCTTAAGCATGATTGTTCATAGTTAAAGTGATTAATTACCTGCCTGGCACTTAGTTAAGAGGTTTTATTCCCTCCCTAACTTCAGGGAAAAATCCCTACCTGGGGAAACACCCTTTCTCAGAGGCCTTGGTTAAAACACATAGTGCCAAGAAGGTGAACAAACATATTAAGAACAGTATGCCATATATGCCAGGTCCCTTGAAACAGCAAGGATGGACCGGCTCCCGGCACAAAAATAAGAGAAAAAACAAACACAGAACAGTGGCACAAAGAGATGATATGCTTAAATCCAAAGATATCAGTCACTACTTTAAAAAGAAATGGACTAAAAGCTCCAATTTAAAAGTTTGACAAAGGTTAGATGAAAAAAAAGAAGTCAACTAAATGGTGTTTTTAAAAGACAGATACAGAACACAAGGATACAAAAACATTGAATAACAATCTGTATCACATATGGGAAAAATGGAATGCAAGGAGTCAGTTTATATTAAGTTATTATAATATATAACAAGAATGACATAGACATAGGGTGTGAGTTTTGTTGTTATTTTTGTTAATCATCACCTGAGGATATTTTTTCCAGGTGAAGAAAAATGGACTAGGATGGGAGGTATAAAGAAATATGGATTTTAGCTGTTTTTGGAGGTAGAAACCAAAACAACTACTAATGGACTTAGCACAGAGATTGTGAGTTTTGGATTTACAGGAAGAGGAGTGAGTGGTGAGGGTCCCTCCTTGGAGTACTTTCTTATCATAGTCATGGTTTGCTTAAGCATCTGGCCTACATCTTCCACGCATCAGGAGCTACACTGTATTCTCCAACAAAGATGATGAAGTAGTAGTCAGAGGGTTTTAATGAAGAGGTAAAGGTAGGTTGTAAATAGTTTATGAAATAAGCTACTGTTTTTCTGACAATTTATTATGATGAACAATTACAAATGCATTTATAAAACAACTGTGTTTTGATTGCATCAAGGTATGATAATTTCAATTTTGGTCCAAATCACTATGAGTCAGCCTTAAAACCTTCAGAGCACCCTGTACACATCCCTACCTAATAACAGCTAAAATCACTTCTCAGCAGAATACTGATGTACTAAAGAAGCAAGACAAATGATATCTTTAGGCAGGCATGAATTTCAATTAATTACTGATGCTCTAAAACATAAAACAAAACTCAAACGTAGTAATGGAAAAGGGAAATCCTTCCTTTATCTAAAACCAATAAACAAGCTATACTAACGTAGAGATTTAGGTAAAGCACGTAATTTTAATCCCTATATGATGTGGAAAATATTTTTATCTTTATAATATATCATGAATAAAATTCTATACTTGTGAAGTTTTGCTCCTTTATTACCATCTTTTTCTATAACATTAACTTTTTACTTTCAAAAATGAGTAAAAGCAACAAAAATAAAATGACCACTCACGTCATATGTTAGTGAATCTGCTTCATTAGCCACAGTGAGCCCTGCCAATTCTCCAAGTCCCAGTTCATTTTCAAGGGCTTCATCTGCTCCCATGATGAATGACTTCCCAGAGGAAGGAGGAAATGTCAGTGCTTCCACTGAAAGAAGACAAAAGAAACACAAAAACACCTCTATAGAGTCAATAATTAATCTCATAAGGGCATGTCTACATTTGGTTATTTTAAAATGCTTTTAAACATAAAATTCAGTGAGCAGAAAATCCTGAAGAATTATTTGCTTTTTTTCATATCATAATCATAGCTAAAGGTGTCATCTAATTAGAAAAATAAAACATGAAACAAACCCAATCATTATTGTCCTTTCTTTTACACTACACAAAAAAATAATGTGTCTAAAGGAAGGTCAGTTTTCCTCACATGATAGTTCTTGCTAATCACCCAAATTATTTCTATCAATTATTAAACATATATAGCAAGTAATTCTGAACACTGTCGGTCTCATTCAAATAAAATTGTTAATTCTATAACCTGGAGGAATGCAGAAAATTTCAAATAAAAATGGTACGACTGAAACGTGCTGATAGGAGGCAAAACTATTACGCAGCAACAGAAATCAGGATACCCTCTAAAGAGGAGAGAAGGGATAGTGATTAGAAGGACTTCTAGGGTCCTGGTCATGTCCTGCTCCTTGGTCTAGAGGCAGTGGTGACATGGTTGGGTTCCCTTTGTAATAATTCACTGAGCTACACTTTGGTGACTTCAGCAGTTTTCTGTAGGTATGTTATATTTCATTTAAGAATGCTTATTTTAAACAAAAATTCTTAAAGTGTCCATTTGAACACTTTTCTTTAGTTTCCAACTGTGCTTCAAGATGTCATATTAATTTTGTGATAAATATAAATGCTCTTACTTTATAACACTGTACATATAACAATCGAATCCCTTTAGTCACCATCACAGAAGAACCAGTTAAAAGTAAAATGCTAAATTTATTATATAAAATAAAGATTTTATTTAATTTGACCAATAATAAAATGTCACTTTTTATAAATGCAAACTGTCAGAGGTGGTCACTCTGTAGTTTTCTATAGGTGGTGACTTCACTGATGACAAGCATTTATGAGCTCATTAGATGAATTTAGTAGTTTAAACTTTGGCTGTTAAAGAAATAAATTTTTTCTTAAAAGTAACAAATAGATTTATTAATTAGTATATGTAGAAAACTGAATTTACAAGGTGTTTTTCAGCAATAGGCTCATTCCTATAATTTTTTATTCAGTCATAAATATTTGTCAAAGAAATGAAAGAATAGCTTTGTGCTTTTAAAAATAGTAGTGGCAGAAACTCTACTGAAAAAACTTGTAAGAACAAAGTGGAGTACAAACTAAGTTATTTTCAAACCACCATGCTTTAGTTATTATTAAAGCAGCAATAATACAAATGGGTTTTACCAAAACTATCATATGTCCTCTGAGGAAATTCAAAGAACCCTGAACATTTACTAATGATGAGGGGATTATTTAAATTAGAAAAGCAATTTTCATGCCAAAATTTCAACCACAAGATTCATGCAAGACTGAGACTAGGTCTTCACCCAGGTGTTTTGTTTTCTATCATTTTCATATAACTTTATCCAGATGTTAAACAGAAATTACTCCTACAAAAAAAGACAGATTTGTGGAATTTGACCATACATGTTGTTTGGGCTAATTTAGCTAGTGCTCAAGAAATGGCCAAGAAAAGCCTGAAAACACATACCAGTGGCTAAACTAGCAGCCTTGAGGGTTGAAGAGAGAAAGGAACAATAGGCATAACCTTATTTGATTGCTAAGATTTCTTAGAACTTAAGACTATAATGCATCTTAAGTATGGCACTGCCTCCTCAATTAATAAAATAAAAATAAAGAAATGTATATAGCACACAAAGGCCATGGAAGCTTTATCTGAAATGGAAAAGATGTTCTAAGCTAGAATTTAGAGTTGGTTTTTAAGTTTCTGTACCCCTTTTTAGGTCTTAAAGATTGAAGTTGGAATCAAACCCCAGTGAATATAAGATAATCTAGATTTGGGGAACGACAAGTATTGGTAGAATACAATTCTTCTTATAGAGAACATTTTCTAATAGGAATTTAGATATGTATATCCAAGTGCTTTTTGTGCTCCAGAGTGTCTGAAATACTCGCCTTCATCTGCTCTATTTATTTCATGTTCAGGAAGCCTGGAGCTGCTGGGTCTGGAAGGTGAACCCACAGATGGCTGCAATGAAGGAAGTTCATCAACATCTCTCAAATTAGCAAGCATATCTTGTAGTTTTGACCTATTGGGCCCTAGCCCAAAAAAGGGAGGGAGAGAACAAAAGAGAGGATATAGAATTATTCAACTGCATTGAAATGGTGCTATAAACTTTATTCACAACTGCCAACATCCACTTTTAAAGCTACCCTACTATATTAAAAAGTAATTATTTTCCAAACTTTCAAATTATTTTAAAAGTTTATTTCTTGAAAAGACATTTTACATTTATTTTTAAAATTAAGTTAATGAAATATCATCACTATTTGTATGAAAAAAAATGTTCATGTGCAATTTCAACCATTAAAAATAATATTCTATCATTATTGCATATTGGTCTAAATTCAGACAGACACCACAGACTGTGAAGCTATTGCTGTATACCAAATTAAACAATAACATCACTTTTTGTTTGTTTGCTTAAATTAAGTTGCATTCATTGCCTGACATCCTGAAGCTATGGTACCCGAAGTGAAGTCTCATGCCCTGCTGATTACTTACCTGAAACTTGATTCTTCATTCTCCCACATCCCTGTTTTGACTGTTTTATATAGGATAGAGGCTGAAACAGATCTTCGGTAGTTTTTCCTGTTACAAGTTTAATTAAGAATGGGAAATCTTACCCATAGTCCGTTATGTTTTTTTCCTATACCAGCATAAGCAATTTTAACTAATACCTAGAAATATATTTCAAGACAGCATGACTGGAGTACACAATTTGACTGGAAATATATCTACTAGACCATATTAAAAGAATTCAATCTTTCCCAATGAGTAAATAGTTCAACTAATAAATTATGTATAGATTATAAATTAATGCTTCATTTATCGATTCAAAGTTTTGTTTCAGTTCTTTTTATCGTCTTGACTTGTTCCCAGACTACCATTTATCCAGATAATATGAACTGACAATGAAAACAAAATGTGCTGAACCTGTCTATAGCCTCTCCAGCTTTAAGAAAAGACATTAAAATTTTTCCCCAGAGAGTCATTTTTCCTCATCATACTAAAAAACTTTATGCTGTATGCCTAAATACTGATCATAATCCCTACATTCAGGAAATAACTTCTATTAATAGGAATACTGTTCCAGTCAAATGGTGCAGTTTTAGATCTTAAAGTGCTAAATTTCAACTACAGCAATGCCTTGATATTTGACAAGAACTGAACAAGCAATATAACAGTACGTGGGGTCTACGTAAGTCCTGATACCATTCCAATTTAAAGATCTTTTACATTTCAAGACATTATTGCAGCATAATGACTTAAAGAGATATATCAACTTTAAGTCAATCTAAAAATTAAAATATTCTTTTTCTCATATATGATATACAAATTTTCCTCAAAATTTCAGTTTAAAGGGGTTGGTCATCAATTTATTTGGATAAAATGTACAAAATATTCTTATTTTAATATTTATATTGATTTAATTTAGATTGAGAAGACATCAAATGACATCATCTCTCAGTTATGTAATGGTTGGCACAATGATAACATCAAAAACGGTCACTGACTTTTATCCATTCAAACTTACTTGTAAATTCTAAAATATTTTAAATAAACACTTAAATGTTTTCCAATAACTACCAAGTTGTAAAAGAATGTCCTAACAGAAGTGACTGGTCTTTGATAAGCTTTAACATCACTACAAAAAGAAAAAGTATATCCTTCCAGTCTTCTACAACTTTTAAATACATGTTTTACTAAACTGGATTTTAATCTCACTTTACACTACTTTAATATCCCAAAGGATGAAATTCCTATTGCCAAAAAAGGAAGACCCACATTCATACTGTCAATAAGAGGAAGCACAAGGAGGTAGTTTCACCTTGTTCTCCTAAAATGGTGTTTAATGTTTTCAGGGATGTTTGAAAGCTTTTGTATTTCCACTTTACAGGCTTAACTAGAGCTATTGCTAAACTTTATTAATAGTTTGCATAGTGAATTATATATATGATTCACAGGGCTAGAAATTTAATTTTAGCTTCTATTTTTCATGTGGCACACATTTTATTGAAAACAAAAAAGCTAATTGGTAATGTTATAAATGGAGTTGGCCAAAAGTTTTAAATTAATAAATACTTTTAGAAATTGTATACTTGTGCCCTGTATAGCATATAATGGTGAAAGCAAATGAACTGTGTGTTATGAACACATAGAATATTCAGGGGTAGAAATTAACTTTCTGTCTCTTAATTCTAAAATTATACGCAATAATTTTGGTGGGTTGCCACAGGGTCAAACTAGATGAGATTTAAATTGTCTAAAACTATCAACAGTGAAAAATCATTATTGTAATTTAAGTACAAATATTTTTAAAAATCAAATTATCACTATGTTTGAATACATGGTCCCACACTCTCATGAGGCTCTGGATTTATTACTGAAATACGTTATGATTCCACAATAATATGCATAGTTTTTCTTTTTTCTTTTAAAGTTCATAATTGAATAGCTAACCATTTAATTTCAACCCCTGAGAGCAAGTGAAAAGGAAAGAGGTCAGGAGTAGAAAAGAAAAAGAGTAAGTAGTTTTAGGAAAACATTGAAAAAAAATTGGGGAATATGAAAGAGGCAAGATTTATGATTTACAGATACAATGTTTTCCACTTACTCTTCACCCCCTTTTTCCCCTTTCTCTCCTTTTTGTATTGTTCCTTGAGTTTGGTAATTACTCCCTGGTCCACATTCCAAGCTTCAGGCATGAGACACTGGTCTTCCTTTTCTAAACAAAGTAAAACAAATGAAACAGCCTTTTTCAATGAAATATTAAACACTGTAAGTCAATAGTTATGAATGACATAACTATTTTCTTCTTAGTATCATTAACTTAAAAAAGACATTAGCTATATGTCACACAAAACACAGTATCTAAGAAATGGTGACCAATTCAATTTCCTAGGTAATAATATTAAATTTCTCTTGAAAGAGACATAGAAAAAAAGCACACACACCTGGAAGATGTGACTTTTATTAAATTAGGCCCCAAAATGCTATAATCAGGAACCCATTTTCATCCCATTTTCTGAATTAAATTAGGATTGAATCACAAATTTTTTTATTAATTTACAAAATGAGAGATTATTATTAAGAGATTATACAAATAGACTTCAATGATCTTTTCATTTGGAAAATTTTATGTTTTTGGCATGTGTTCATCAACAAATGACCATTTTTATTTTATAGGACTTATAAGGAATACTTGAAACTTAACCTACATCCAAAATTTATACAATTTAATCAGTCTAATAAATTCCTTAAATGGAAACAAAGCTTCTAGTAAGAAAAAAATTACAATTACTAATTTTCACTATTTTGGGAGAAGAAAATTTAAAGCGTAAATGTTATATATATTATACTTACTATAAAATAATTTATATACTATATAATGTCATGTGTTAGCTCAGAACTCTCGCTTGAACTCAAGACTTATATATCCAACTGCTCATTTCTACATTTCCATTTGGAAGTCTAAATAGTATCTCAAACTAAACAAACAAAATCAAACTCCCAATCTTCCCCATCCAATCTGTTCTATCCACAGGATTCCCCATATAATTTGCTGCAATGGTTGTCCTCTCGCCCCACCAAGTCTATTATCAAGACTGGTTGCCCTGGGTTCTTTATATAGCATCCAGAGTAATGCTTTAACATAAAAGTCAGATCCTGCCATCCTTGTGTTCAAAACCCTTCATGATTTGGTCACTTCTTACTATATTCCCCTTAGAAAAACTCTGCTCCAGCCACTCTAGCTTCCTTGAATTCCTCAGGCATATTACGGCTGCTGCTACCTTAGGGCATTTGCTCTGGCTTTCTTTTTCCCAAACACTTTCTCCAGATACCATATCCCTAACTTCCCTCATCAAGTCTTTTGCTCAAATGTTATCCTCTCATGGCACTTACCATGTACACCTTATTTTAAACTGTAATGACCCCACACCCACCACTCTCTATCCGCCTTATTCTGTTCTACATTTTCTATTTTCCATTGCATTTATCATCTTCTGACATACTATTCATGTACTGTGCTTAGTGCCTATATCCTCATACTAGACTGCAGGGACAACAGGGATAGAGATCCTTACCTAGAACACTTGCCACACAGAAGGCATTTGATCAAAATTTGTTGAATGATTGGACTAAACCAAAATATGCCAGAATAAACAGTAATCTGTTGGGTGGCTTCTGGATCCTCAAGTGCCTTCAGTTGTGTGATTTTAAATTAGTCTTAATTTTTAAAAAATAAAAACATTATCTTTATCATAATCTTAACTAGACTTATAATAACAATAGCAATGAAAGGTCATAGAAGTTGTGTGGTACAATCTATTTACTTGGCAGAAACTAACAAGATTCTTAACCTAAGCATATTCACCTTTTTAGGGGTGTGAGGAGGGATAAAGGAAGCACTTAAAATGGTTTAAATGTCCATTCAACTGCACAGGATTTGCCATTTAGTTTTGTTAATTGCTTAAAAGTGGAATGCTTTTATTTAGAAGTATAAAACACATAAGATCAAAGTCCTGGTAAAGGAACCTCCAGTTGACTGAAAGATTCCATCATTCACTCATATTCATAAACAAAAATACCCAGTACACTACTAAAGAGTGCGACAGCTCAGATGTGGGAACAGTGCCTCAGATTTTCACCAGTAACTTCATAGCAGGCTAGGTTAAAATGTACACACGGGTATCATATAATACTAGAGGCCCGGTACACAAAAATTTGTGCACTGGCTGGGGAGGGGGGGTGAGGGGGGGTGTCCCTCAGCCCCACTTGTGCCCTCTCACAGTCTGGGACCCGTAGGGATATAACCACCTGCTGGCTTAGGCCCGCTCCCCAGGTGGCAGATGGCAGGCCCGATTCCTCGGTGCCTGCCCCGCCTCCCTGGGTCGCGCACACGGCAGGGCCGATCCGGGGGTTGGGGCACCACCCTGGGTCGCGCACACAGCAGGGCTGATCCGGGGGTTGGGGCGCCGCCCTGGGTTGCGCACACGGCAGGGCTGATCCGGGGGTTGGGGCACCACCCTGGGTTGGGTCGCAGATGGGACGCCCGGGCGGGCTGGCTGATTGCTGCTGCATCTCCCAGCCACCCCGGGTCGGGTCGCACACAGACGCCCGCCGTCCTGGGTTGCAGATAGCAGGCCTGGATGGAGGCAGGGCTGGCGTGATAGCGCTGTCCCGCCCCACCACCCCGGGTCACAAATAGCAGGCACAGATGGCGGTGGGGCAGGGGGGATGGCGCTGTCCCGCCCTGCCTGCAGTATGCAAATTAGCCGCCATCTTTGTTGGCAGTTAATTTGCATATCATGCTGATTAGCCCATGGGAGGCGTAGCAAAGGTACGGTCAATTACCATGTTTGTCTATTATTAGATAGGATGTGGGACCATAACTCATGCCTTAAAGCTAAGGAAGTTACATATGGGACAGTACAGCTGTCTTTGAAGGAAAATGAATCCTAATCACCACTGCAATAAGAATGGCAATGAAAAGGGCCAACTATTATTATTCAGATGTATGACTCCTTAAAGAAAAGACCTTTGTGTAGCACAGTGATCTAGCTATATTGGTAGAATTGTTGCCTGAAATATCTGAATAACTTGATATATAAGCACATTAGGGAATAAGACAGAAGAGAGACTCATTTCACTTTAACTTCCTCTGATTTCCAAACTTTGTTCTGGGGAGGGGGAAAAGGTCAGTCACTAAAATAGCCATTATATTTGCCATATTATGATTTTAAGTGATTATCCCAAATAATTCTTCAAATATTTGCCATGAAAAAGAAGTGGTATTAACATTATCAGATCCCTGAAGGAAAAGGGACAAGAAAATATTAGGATAGTTATTCATTCTCTAACCTTATCAGTCTTTAAAGTGCATAGACTGTAAACTAAGGGTGTTCTAAAATTCTTTAACCTCGAAAATTTTCTCTCATTCCAAAACACTTGTTTTAACTCCTGTTAGACATTTAAAATAGTAAACACGCTTAGAACAATTCACACACAAAATCTGATGCCTTGTGCAAACTGACAAAACCTGACTGGAATGATAACTACAATTTTTAAACTTTATTTCTTTTTGTACAGAAGATGCCAGAGATGAGCTTTCTAAATCCTCTAAAGCAGCAATTTTCAACCTTTTTCATCTCATGACATACACAAACTAATTACTAACATACTGCAGCACACCAAAATATGTATTTTTTGCCAATCTGACAAAAAAAATAGCTATAATTTTGATTCATTCACACTGACGGCTTTTGCTGTGTTGGCTGATATCATTTTTTCTTTTATTTGACAATCTAAGAGAAAAGAGATATGTGCCCCTGACTAAAAAGTCAGGTATTGTATGTTTTAAAAATTCTTGCAGCACATTGCTACTCTAATACATTGTCATATTCAATTTCCACAAAATCTAGATTTGCAAGTTTTACTATCTAAGCAGAAAATAGAAAACATTCTGTATGTGAATTCAAATTATTTTCATACTGTATTCATTTTTTAAAATGAAATAATTACTTATACAATCTTCTTTAAACACACACAATACACACACACACACACACCCTAGACAAAAGGTGATGGTAATAAGAAGTTCATTGCATCAACATTTCAACTTATAAGAGATTTAAAGTGTTCTTTAAGATGTTTCCCTCCTGAAAAAAAATTTGTTTCTTTTCTTTACATAATGTCTCTGGTTGGATCCAGTACCCTTCCTTACCCCAGTCTGTTCCGTCACCTGCACTTCTAGATTCACTGTCGCCTTCCTCTGATGTAACCAAGAAGTCAAACTCCTTTAGAGCTTCTTCTGTATCTCGATCGTCACTGCTCTGAGGCAATGCTTTTTTCCTAACAATCTATTGAGAAAACATGCCAAATTAAAATGTATTATGGAAGTAATTTAAATAAAGGAGAAGGTACCCCTTTACCATTGAGTGACAAAACCCAATTAATTGTTTCCTTCAGAAAGTGTATCTTTGTAATACCTATTCAAGAGTGGAAAACAGATGTCTCTTTAAAAAGTGTATAGATTATAATATTATACATTTTAAAGTAGTAATTTAAATTTTGTTCAATGATTTCTTACTGTAAATAAACTAATGGAGTCATATATTGAAAACACTGGAATATAAGACATCTATTTAAATTAGATAGCTAAAAATATGTACTCTATTATAAGAAACACAACCAAATCTTGTATTTCTTAGATACAGTTTGTCCAAAGAAAGAAACACTTCATAAAACATTGCAAGAGCTTTCAGAATATAACCATGATCAATTTTAACTGTAATATACCATTCCCTTATAAAATTTACAATCACAAAAACTACAAACTCAGTAATGCATGCCTTACACTTAGAAACTATTCTGTTTGTGGCCGGGGGGGGGGGGGGGGGGAGGAATAGGAAAGGAATTCCCATTATTATTTCTACTATCCCAGCCTTGCATCAATTTTCTCCAATAACTCTCTATAATATTCAAGTTTTTCCTAAAATATGGATGTTTCAGAGTGAGACTTGACTTAGATTTAATAGCAAATCTAGTAAGGGCTGTAATATCTCATTTTTATATATTTAGGAATCTCTGGAACCACAAATCCAGTTGGAAGATTAAAACTTAGCCTTAATGCATGCAGAGATGATTTTTTAAAACAACACATTTTTATTGATTTCAGAAAGAAAAGGAGAGGGAGACAGAAATATCAATGATGAGAATCATTGATCAGCTGCCTCCTGCACGCCCCCTACTGGGGATAAACCTGGGCTGTGCCCTGACTGAAAATCAGACCATGACCTCCTGGTTCAGAGGTCCACGCTCAACCACTGAGCCATACCAGCTGAGCCAAAGATGATTTTTGAGATCTATATGCCAATACTTTTTATGAATTATCTCCTTTTTGGTCACCTCCACAACCAGAAGCCCAAACAAAGTAGGACAACTGATTTGCAGCTTCTTTTGAAAAAATGGACTCAGTATCTCCACTTCTTCAGACCTCAGCTTCTTCACTTCATGTAAAACAGAAATAGCGTGATCTGATCAACTTCATCCCTGGACTATTTTGAGTAGTTTAAACATATAATGGTTCAACATACATCAATGGGTCAGACTAAAGACTCTAGAAGTAGACTCTAAGAGATAACGATTACCTGACTTGGATGGCCCTGCTCTCATGCTCATGACTGATACCACTTGTCAATCACAGCACTCAGAGCCTCAGGAATCCTTCTCAATGCACACTCCAGGAAGCTACTATCAATAGAAGAAAGCTGGCACAGTGGGTGAAACCTACTCTGCCTTTCCTGGTATATAGGAAAACTGAATAGGAGAAATCAAGGATTCTTAAATGATGCTAGAATAATTGGTTTGACTATTTAGAATATTTCCCTAAAATCAAGAAATGCTATAAAAATATCTGGAACCGTAAATTCAGAGTCTAAATGTATTTCCAACATTAGTTATTACTAAGTATGGTATTAAGTCACTAAACTAACTTTTTGGGGGGGAAAAACTGTTTCTAGGTCTCATCTCCTCTATATAACCTAACGAAGAATGAAGATAAATGGCAAGATGAAAACCACTGTCTGTCAAGTATCCCATTTAAACAAATAAACAAAAACTCCTGAATTTTTAATGGCGAGACATAGAAAAAAAGTGAACTGTGGTTACCAATGGAGAGTAGATTAGTAAATGGGAATGGATGGAGTTTATTGTAATAAGCATGTATTACTTTTCTTTCTTATATCTAAGGTTCCACCCCATTCCTGCCCAGAGAAACAATAATCTGGAAATAATAATTTGACAGTCTCTGATGGAAGCAGAGGGCATAAAGAACAAAGAAGTCACACTTAGAAAATACTTATAGTTAAATATATCATTTTCATATGGTGTCTCATATTCTTCACAAAATCCTCTGGGGAGATGGGTGTGTATTATAATCCTCATTTTACAAACTAAAAAGTTTAGCCTGAAGGATTAATAAGCACAGATAATTAGTAACAGAATTGGGACTTAAACCCAAGGCTTTTAACTTCAGGTTCAATCTGCTTTCTATTACCTTACATTCTTCCTCGCTCTTCTTAAATAAAAGTGGAAGAGGAAATGTGAATATTTTCCTAGTCAAAGCAAAGCATGCTTTCATATCTTACTTTAAAAATAGGAGAAAAAAAAGGAGGTAGAAGGAAGAAGAGAAAGAAGGGAGTTGAAAAGGAAAAAGAAAAAAGAAGAGGGGGAAGGAGAGGATAGAAGGGGGTAGAACAGAGAAGGGAAGAGAAGTGAGAAAAAGCAATTTAGAGATACCTCTTATTGTAAGAAACTACCAAGGGAGAGTCAATAAACTTACAAAGATGTAAGCAAAATTACAGAAAAACCCTAAACTAGCTTGAAGAAACCTAATGGAAGAGTTGTGAAAGTCTGTAGAACTTGTCTACCAAAGCAACCCTGACAAGAAGAAAACTGCATCAATTATCAATTAGAGTTGATGCCAGTCGCCATTAGGCACCATAATGGGTCTGTCAGTTCTATTGTCTTATAGCAGCGAATAACACTGCATTGTTATAACACACAATGTTTACCATATTCACCAGCTCTATAGAAATGTTGAAATGTTTAATGAATTAACAAAAAATGAGGCCCTTAACAGAAAGCTGCTATACTAAAAATACTCCTGAGTGTTCAATCAATACTAAAAACTTTTATACTGCTTCAAATTCATGAAAAAAATAAAGTTATGGGTTTAGGTTGAAAGATATGTATTATTTTTACAGTATGCATACGAGTCCCTAAAAATAATTATATCTGAGTTATCCAACTCACTGTTGAAGTATCAATGACGCTTTTCTCTCGTCCATCAATGTCATCATCTTCGTCTTCATCACTGAAATCTGCAGCTGCACTTTCAGGGAATTTGAAATTATCCAGCACAGAGGCAGAATCTGTTAACTCAGATTTCCTGGTTTAAAACATGTACACCTTGCTCAGTTAATTTTTTAAACTCAACATAAGAATTAATTTGTAATATGATGCACTACCTTCTGTTTATATTGTAACTACATTTCCTCAAATAACATTATGAATGACATTGATTCTTATCCATGAAAGTATAATATAGGAAGTGATTACTTTTTAAAGTACTTTGCAACCCTATCTATTTAGATGAATGGTAATCTAATGTAAAGAACCCCTCCTAATTCAGATGTATTTTGATCCTAGGTTAACTTTCATGTATTTCTTCTTTAAAGTATTTTTTCTCTCTGCCACAACTTTATTCTATTCTTTTCCTCTATGCTACTCTTCCTGTGACACATAAGTTTCCATGATATGCCCTAGCCAGTTTGGCTCGGTGGATAGAGCGTCAGCCTGCGGACTTAGGGGTCCCAGGTTCGATTCCGGTCAGGGGCGTGTGCCTTGGTTGCGGGCACATCCCCAGTGGAGAGTGTGCAGGAGGCAGCTGATTGATGTTTCTCTCTCATCGATGTTTCTAGCTCTCTATTCCTCTCCCTTCCTCTCTGTAAAAAATCAATAAAATATTTTTTTAAAAGTTTCCATAACTAGAAAATATGTCATTTTTCTCTGATGCTATCTTATATTTCTGAACAGCTGATGAGCTGAAAAAAAGCAAATGTGCACATCACGTTACTAAATACAATATATTATTCAAATCAACATTTCTACAAAACTTCATCCTATTGGTGAGCATTAAACTTTTGGAAATGATTTCAAATATGTAAGATTTTAATTTAGTTCCCTAAAAATAAATCTAGTAAACAATTTCCTAATGACCAGAAAGGATGATTTCTCTCTAGTTCATTAAAAAATATTTTAGAAACGAAGGTATGTCTATGGAAAAATATAGCCACACTATGGACGAAATTTTCAAGACAAATAATACATTTCAAATCTGCTGGAAGCTACGTTTGAGGTTTTTCCACCCTATTCTTCCTCTCTACATAATTAGACATTCAGAATAATATCCTTGTCAGCTTCAAAAGATAGGTCAGACCAAAACACAAGACGACTAAAGTGGTCTTTTCTGAGGCCTTTATACTGACTTGTTAACCCTTTTCAGTGGTTCTCAACCTTCTGGCCCTTTAAATACAGTTCCTCATGTTGTGACCCAACCATAAAATTATTTTTGTTGCTACTTCATAACTGTAATGTTGCTACTGTTATGAATCGTAATGTAAATATCTGATATGCAGGATGGTCTTAGGCGACCCCTGTGAAAGGGTTGTTTGACCGCCAAAGGGGTCGCGACCCACAGGTTGAGAACCGCTGCTTAGGTAAAACTATAAGCAAGAATGCCTACATTGTCTATGTCTACATAGAGAAACAATCTACATCTCACATTTATAAAAACAATTTAATGTAGTTTTAATTATTAATGAATATATTTAAGAAGACCCTAATGACATCTGTTTACAAAAGTCATATTTTTGAACCTTTACCTAAATCTCATAATTTTAGTTTATGGTCCAGAGAACAGAAACTGTGTTCTCACTAGAACAGCAATTTTCAACCTTTCTCATGTCATGGCACACATAAACTACTAAAATTCTTTGACACCAAAAAATATATTTTTTGCCAATCAGACAAAAAAAGGGTATAATTTTTATTCATTCACACCGCATGGCTATTGTTGTGTTGGCTGTTATCATTTTTTCATTTGACAATCTAAGGGAAAAGCCATCAGTGCCCCTGACTAAATAAAAGTGGCTAAGATAAGGTTTACTTCTTAAAAATTTTAACTGAATTTCCAAAATAAGATCTTTTATGAAGTTCTAATAGTAAGTGACTAAGTTTTAGGATATTAAAATCTGCATTAAATCCATAAATTTCAAGCAAATATCTTAAATAAAAAATATTCTTAAAATATCATAAACTCTAATCACGACATGTTATCTTCTAATAAATGAATTTTAAATTCCTATTAAACCTTATTATAATTATTTCTGTAGCAGTATCTAAAAGTGCAAGTACCATAAATATCACCCCTAAACCAAATATATTTAATAAAAACTAAAGTTATAGCTAAAACACTTTCCAGACAAAATACTTACCCAATCATTGCTGTATCTTTAACTTCACCTTCTGTGCCATTTATAAGTGAATCCTGATTTTTGTCATCTTCTCTGTCCGTGACATCACTTGAAAAGCCCAACAAAGCTCGCACTCGTTTAGACTTCACATCTAGAATAGTATCTGTGTATCCCACCTCCTGTAGATACCTGTGTATAAAGATGATCCTTATAATTCAGCCATACTGGATCAGCATTCTATAACTTAATACATAAATAAAAGTATTTCTTTAAATTCAATGCCTGCATAGGATTTAACAGAATAGTACCATGCTAGTATGACTTGCTAATAAATAATCTTCCAGCTGCAGATGGAGCTGTCTCTTGCAGTACCAGTCTCTACCATCACTGAGAAAAATCAAAGAACTATACAATACACCATTCATTATATTTATCATAAAAAGAAACTATTTCTTAATATACCTAATAGCACATTCTTTCTTCTAGGCAGGGTTGGAGCAATCTCACTCTCAGATAAATTACTATTTTATGATAGTAGTTGTTATACTCAGTAGTCTTTTTACATTTCTGATGTAAAGTGTCACTGTTTAAGATCTAAAGAGAATGTTTCTGGCATACATAATTTACTCTATTACATACAATAAGACAGTATAATCCAAAGAGTCACTTCTACAGAAGGAACACTTCTGTCTTAGGACAATTGTAAAACGAAAACTGCAGACCACAATTCAATTGTGGAATGTGGAATGCCTGGGTACACAGGAAGAGGGGCAGCAGCACAGAATAAAAGAGAATAGGCTTTGTATTAGCCTAAATGGGTGTAAAGCCCATTTCTGCCATTTTCATTCTGTTACTTTAATTCTGTTGAACCTCAGCTTTCTTTCCCTTAAAAGGGACACACTTAGTACAGTGCCTGGTATATCGAAGGCACTCAATTTCTATTAACAAAAAAAGATGACCAAAAAAAAAAAACCAAACCCAAAAAGGGTAGTGGCAGGAATATTAAAAAGGCAAGTGTCACTAATAGCACCATTAATAAAAGTGACTGACAAATGTCAGGCATTAACTTATAAATAAGCATCAGTCTATGGGATGAGAGAGAAAATAAAGGTGGACAAGATAAGCAGTCTAAGGTCAATTTATTTCAAGACCTGATATTAATAGTTAATATAGCTCAAAGAGATATCTCACAAAGATATGTGACTAAAATGGAATAAGTGCATCCTATTGAATTAAGACATTCATTTTTTAATCCTATTCAATATTTACAGAAAGGGTTTGATTAAAATTTGAATAATAAATTTCTAACTTCCCTAAACTTAATCAGTTGATCTTACAAACTAATACAAAGGTATTATGTTTTTCTATTTTTAACAAATAATATTTGATACATACTTCACATTGGCAGCAAAATCACTTTACAAATAACTGTTTCGAAAACTGCACTTTCCATAAGTTGGCTTTACTGAATGGTTACTTCCTCATTCACTGATAAAATGTCACCTTTCCTTTTTTTTTTTTAAAAATATATTTTATTGATTTTTTACAGAGAGGAAGGGAGAGGGGTAGAGAGTTAGAAACATCGATGAGAGAGAAACATCGATCAGCTGCCTCCTGCACACATCCCACTGGGGATGTGCCCGCAACCAACATACATGCCCTTGACCGGAATCGAACCTGGGACCTTTCAGTCCGCAGGCAGATGCTCTATCCACCGAGTCAAACCGGTCAGGGCTCACCTTTCCTTTAAGGGACAGATTATGAGTCTTCTAAAGTTTTTGCAAATATCTCTTGGATTGCTCACTATTACAACTTCCCATTAAAAAAACCCAGCAGATTAAGAACACGTATTTATTTATAAAAAGAAAATGCATAAATCATATTTAAGACCAAAGTCAAGGCACTAGTGAAAAAATCCACTTATTAAAGACTAGTGAGCCCTAGACACTTTGGCTCAGTGGACAGAGCATTGGACTGCAGACTGAAGGCTCCCCAGTTCAATTTAGGTCAAGGGCACATGCCTGGGTTGCAGGCTCGATCCCCAGTAGGGGACGTGCAGGAGGCAGCCTCATCACTGATGTTTCTATTTCTCTCTTCCTCTTCCTTCCTCTCTGAAATCAACAAAAATATTTTTTTTAAATAGTTTAAATACTAGTGAAATCTCACTTTCTCTTAACTTCAAGTAGATAAAAAAATAGATATATGAAGACATTTTATTATTCCCTTCCCATCGCCAAAAGGAATGGCTGGCAGGCATCCACTTTGGAAATTATAGATTTAGAGTATTCACAAGCGATCTGAAAAGTCCAAAACAAACAGCAAATTTCATTTTACTGAGGCATAAACCTGAATACCAATTTCAAATGTGATATGCAAGGACCAGCTACTGAGCTGGTGAGTAGGTCTTGCCCACCACCTGACATCTGAAGCTCAACCCAGCTTTGCTCCCTCCTTATACTCAACTACCCATTTCATAGGAGAAAGTACATGTTAGTGCAATATTTGCAAATAGAGGGAAATCAAAAAGTTCTTCAATCAATTAAAAACACAAATTTGGGGGGGGGGGGAGTTTAAGAGATCAACCGAAGGACTTGTATACATGCATATAAGCATAACCAATGGACATAAGACACTGAGGGGTAGGGGAGGCCAGGGGACTGTCAAGGGCGGGGGAAAAAAGGAGACATATGTAATACTCTTTGTAATACTTTAAGCAATAAATAATTTTAAAAAAACACAAATTTACATATAAATACTAATTAAACCTATATTAAAACTTGTATATTCATGTATAAAAGATGCAAAGTATAAAATTCTTTAAACTATAAATTTAAGTGTATGTAAAATCTAGAAGCTTAAAATTATACTCTTTTTGATGAATCTAAAATAATGAAAATTATTTATGCCTTATAATTCTTATTAATATTTAATAATTTATAAATTCCACTACCAGGGGAAAAAGTGTTTAATATGAAAAAGGAAAAGTAATTCAATTAAACTTTTCACAGCAGCAGTATAAAATGAGAAAAATTATTCTGAGTTGAAAATACAAAACAAAAATAATCTCATGAAAATACATGATGCTTCTCTTTAATTTGACCAGGAGTTACTTACTGTCTGAGTAGTTGACGACCTTGTTTCCACATTAACTGGCTATTTTGTTGTGGCTGCACCTCTGTTTCATTACCTTCATCTAGAAAACATTAAATCATAATAAAACTGACTTGTCATATACATTAGAGGGTATCTCTATTCATAAAAAATATCTAAAAATATTTATAAGATTAAGAAATGTAATACTGCACTGTAAGGTGTTTCAGGACCATGTACATTCTGTTTTTAAGTCAAATTTCCATTAAAAAAAGTCTGAATTCATTACTGCTACTGGATTTCCCTCGGAGTTGTAGAACTGAAATAAAAACATTTTCCAATTCCTTAGGCAGCCTGAGAATTTCCCTCTAAGACATAGACCTATCCACATCAAGTCACACAATAAGAGTCCAATAAAAGTATTTGAAGTGCCAGGTCAAAATTAGAACAAAATACCCAGGAATGATGGCTTTTTAAAAAAGTTTGATTAAAGAGGAGGTAGGAAATAATCTCATTCCAAATCTACTTCCTTTACTAGTTATTAAATGAAAACTTCAAGTATTCTTTTTAAGACATTCTTTGAAAGAAAATCTCATAGGCCTTGTAAAACTTTAAATTCATCACTTGCTAGAAGCTTAATCCTTTCAAAAAGGTGGTAAACTAAAAGAGCCTTCTCTGTGTTAAGTCTAAACTAAAGAATTTCTAAACTATAGCATGTCTCTAACTTTAAAAATACAAAAAAGTTCACACTTTCCATCAGTCCCTGATTAAACTATAAGAAACTATTATCTCTATAGGGTTTTATTCAAGTGAAGATACAAGAAAGACTGGGTATGTTTGTTTTATGGTAGTTGATATTACACATTTACTGTGCTCCAGATGCTGTGTTAAAATGTCTACAATATCTGTTTTAATCTTTACAACTCAAAAGATAGGTGTTACTACTAGCCTTGTTTTAAAGATGAGTTTTACATGTTAACTGAAAGGTTTCTAAGTTAGAAGTAGAGTTGTAAGTATTGACATCATGACTAACCCCAGAGCTCATGTATTTTCCTTCATATGCTATCACTACAACAATAAGAAATTAGAGAAATACATAAATTTAAAAAATTAGATCTTGCACTTTCATTTTTCTCCTAAAATAATGAGGCAAAGCTCTGTAATACACGATCTAGAAATATCAGTAGAGTAGATGGAGGGTAGAAAGTGCAGTCAGGGGATTAAGTTAACTAAAAAAGGAAAACTACTTTGGGATAACTTCAGAGGGTATATTTTCTTTTCTTTTTTTTAAAAAAAGGGCAAAAACAAAAGTCTCAATACTAAATAAAAATGACACTAACTCACAAATTCAGGAACTGTGGATATAATACAGTATGTTCCAATACATCCCCTTATTAAGTCAGGTGAATAAATTGTACTTACCATGTAAAAACATTTACATTAACATTTCAAAAACTAAAATTTCAGATGTGAAAGAACTTTTGAGATCATCTAATTTCCCTTAAGAACAGGCCTAAATCCTTTCTATACCATCCGCAGATATAACCAACTGCCTGTGCCTATTCTGGCAGCCAATGATGTTACCAAAGTGTGGTATATCCATTCAATGGAATACTACTCAATAGGAACAAGGGATGAACTAATGACATACACCCATATGAATTTCAAATGCATTATGCCAAGTGAGAGAAGCTAGAATTAAAAGGCTACATATTGCCTTTCAGGAAAAGGCAAAACTACAGAAACAGAAAACAGATTAGTGGTTGCCAGGAGATGAGAGTATTAAGCAGGGGTGGGAAACATCCAGCCAGTGGGCCTCATCTGGTCTGGCCCTGCCAAGGCATTAGGGGTGAGCTAATTAAATGTCTGACCAAATACAGCAGGCTAATTTTTAAGTTGATGATTTTGTATGACCCAAGAACAATGTTATAAATATCCAAATTGCCCTTGGCAGAAAAAAGGCTCCCCACCCATGTTAAACAATTAACTTGTTCGTGATCTCAGAATCCTAAAACTTCTGGTGGGCAGGTATAAAATAGAAGTAGGTGGGCAAAGTTACTTCTCAAAGGGCTGAGAAGAACCTTTTTTACCTGTCTAAATCAATCATCAATCAAGACTGAAAAAATTGTACAAAGGAAAGAACAAACACAGGGAAAAGCCGATGGGAGTACAGAAACTACCTGCTGACAAATTATGAGCAAGCTTGCAGGGTTCTGGCGCACTTCTGAAGAGAGATGTCCATTTGAAAGAGTTAAACTAAATGCATATTTAATCACATGGGCCCAGTGTGTGAATGTGACTGAGTACTGCGAAGACGAAAGGAAGAATATTCACTGGAACCCCATTTGAGTTTTTCTCAGCCCATCCCCTCATGTGAGAGATAGGATGTCGTGGAAGTCCTCACCTCCAGTAGCTCTCAGATTGTGACTGCTTTGTAGGTGGGTTGTCAAAGAGAGAATTAAGTTAAAATGAAGTCTTGAGGGTGGGCCCTAATCCAAAGTGACTGATGCCCTAATAAAAGGAGACTAAGACAGCAGCTGAGTAGCTGCAAGAGCAAACATATGGCCTACAAAGCCTAAATCAGGGGTCCTCAAACTTTATAAACAGGGGGCCAGTTCACTGTCCCTCAGACCGTTGGAGGGCCGGACTATAGTTTAAAAAAAAACTATGAACAAATTCCTATGCACACTGCACATATCTTATTTTGAAGTAAAAAAACAAAACGGGAACAAATACAATATTTGTATTTGCATGTGGCCGTAGTTTGAGGACCCCTGACCTAAATATTGCTATCTGGCCTCAGAAAAAAACCGCTGACCTGCTCTAGATCATAATCTATCTCCGATTTCTTACCCATTTAGGCTCCTTTTGTCTTCACTTCCTTCCCTCTGGAGTTTTAGTTCGAAGTCTATCCCTTCAACCATTCTTTTGCCAATGTACTCAATTTTCTTGTCAATGTACTCAATTTCCTTGTTTTCCAGGAATTCAAGTATTAACTATTTTCATTCTGTTTAGCAAGTGTTCAGACCAGTGCTTCTTACTAAACTCACGGTCACACATGTCAACCAGATCCTTAGCTTTTCTCAATCCTACCATTTCTTAGTTTGTCCTCCTGTTCATTTGTTATAAATCTTCTCTACTTTTTGTAAACCTCTCACACTCTTAGCAGATAATTTTGTCTCAAACATAAAGCTGTCATATTAAATACCTACCACCAAACTGAAACCCTAACCTACAAACCCATCACCTAACTTCCTATATTCTCTCTTGGTAACAATAAAAGACTTGCTACCCCTGTCATTCTCTAGCTGTGTTCAGAATCCAATCCCTATGACGTTTTCAGATACCTTCCTATTTTGTATATCTCTACTTTCTCATTTTCATTTGCTCCTCCTCAAAAAAATACATCCCCCCACACACACTTCCTTCACCCTTTGTGTCCTGTCAGCTGTTACCCTCTAATCCCACTCCCTCACCTTCACAACCCAAGCTTCCTGAAAGTTGACTATACTTAGTTTTCATTTTCCACTCATGTCTATGTTTCTGTCCTCACCTCTCTTCTGAAACTGCTTGCAATAAATTCTCAGTGATCTGTTTGTCACTAAATTCTTCAATTCTCTGGAAATTAATCAGTAATGATGAAGGGTCCTTACTTCTGAAAACCATTTCTCCTCTTTGTTTCCACTGGCTTCTCTCCTACCATTAGGACAACTTTTCTGAGTTTCCTTTTCAGGATTCTATTTTTCTACCAGTTTTTTTTTAATGTTGCCATTCCTCAGAGTTCCATTTTAAATCCTCTTCTCACTCTGCATAAAGTCCCTGGATGGACCTTCACTCAAATGTATTGAGTGCCATTAGTACTATATGGTGCTGCCTTTCAATCTACATATCAAACCGATACCACCAGCCTAAGCTCCAAATCCACACACCTGTCTACCAGCCACCTTCACTTGATTGCCTAACAAATAAATCCAGAAGTGAACCCTCCAACTTCTCAAACTGCTTCTAGTCTCGTTTTTTAAACTACAACTGTGGGAGTCATCTTTGATTCTCCCTTTTTTTCATCCCTTACATCCAAACAAGAACCAATTCCTGCAGATTTTAGATCCTAAATATTTCCTGAATACACCTACTTCTCTTAAATTCCATTGTTAGAACCCTTGTCTGGGTAACCTTCCTCATGTAGCCAGGTGGCTGTCAGTCCTCTAACTAGTCTCCCCAATTCCAGTTCTGCTACTCTCTAACCCATCTTCTAAACTGAAGAACAAATTTGATCACAAGAGTCCTAATTAAGTCCTTCAAGTGCCTTCTCATAACTCCTAGGATAAAGTGTAAACTCCTTAACATATTTTACAAGACCTTGTAACAAATTTTACCGTCTCTTCCCCCCTGGCTAACTCTCTAGTTGTATCTATAAACATTAATTTCCTCCCTCCAAATACTAGCCAGTTATTTCATTTCTCAAATTTGGCATATTCTTATCTCAGAAACTTTACATGCAAGAGGCAACCAACCTCCCCCTTCCCGCCTCCCTTCTACTCTCACTTAAAAAAAAAAAAATGGAAAAAATACATCCTCAGGTAAGGATTAACAAAAAAATAAAATGAGAATAATATTATCTTTATTAAATAACTATTTTAAAAATTACAGTTAACATACATAAAGCCCCTAGTACAAGGCAGGTATTTCAGTAAGTGATATAAACAATAGTTGTTATCTTCAGATATTTGATCCAGGAATTTAATCTGAAATTACGTCAAAAACAAACTCACCTTAAAACATGGCAATAACTTTTGAACAACTTTTCTTTCTTTTCCTTTACATCTACTAATAAGTAATATCTGATTGTTTCCAGGTACTAGTTTTGTATTGTTTGGTGAGGTGAAGAGAAAGGTAGGAGAAGGATAAAGAAGACATAATGCAAAATAATAATGTTTCAGCTGTTAAAAGATGATCTAGTTATAGAATCTGCTGTGATGACAAAGTCCAAAACAATTTTGCACCTGAAACTGAGGGATCCAGGGGTGGGCAAACTTTTTGACTCGAGGGCCACAATGGGTTCTTAAACTGGACCGGAGGGCCGGAACAAAAGCATGGATGGAGTATTTGTGTGAACTAATATAAATTCAAAGTAAGCATCATTACATAAAAGGGTACGGTCTTTTTTTTTTTAGTTTTATTCATTTCAAACGGGCCGGATCCGGCCTGCGGGCCATAGTTTGCCCACGGCTGTATTAGGCTCATAGGACAAGGAATTCCCCTGTACTTAAAGAAGAAATCTTTTACCTCTATAGTTCCTACTCTTTCTCTCAGGATTTCAAGGGCATTCTATACTTTGTACTGCACATCTCAAAGTTCCCATTAATACTGGGAAGACCCAGCAAGAATCAGTTATGTTGATGTATGTTTCCCCATGAATTCTGATCCTTTCAGTAAGTGTAGAACATAAGCAGAAAATGGGAAACTAAAAGTAAAGGGAAGGGGATAAAAGAAGGAAGCTGGTGGAAAATAATCTAAATGACACTACATGATTAGTGTCAAACGATAAGTAGGTCAGAAAAAATAACATGCAAATAACTAGAAATCAACTTGCAGTTATACATATTGTAGCTACAAATACTCGATATTAACTTCTTTTTAATCACTTGAACTTCCTTTAAAATTAGCTTACCAGAATCATAGCTTGGAGGCTTCATATCTCCCTGATTCAATTCTGTCCCATATTTCAACTTGTGGTATTTGGCTCTAACAAAGAAATGAGAAAATACAAACCATCTTAAAACATATTTAAGTAAACTTTTATATATGCAATAGGAGTAGTCATCAGTTTGCAGTAGTCCTAGGTAACTTTCAAAGGCCCATAGCCTTCCAAGATGTCAAAGTCATAATACAAAAGCATTTGCCATTACTATTTTGTTGTTAGTGCATGAAGTACTATTATAAGAAATAAAGGACTAACACTGGGAACCATACATCTTCTTTCTGTACTTACTAATGAACCATATTAACATGCTAGCTTTTGTTGTATTCAAATTTTCTTGATAACTGCCAGAGTATTTTATTATCAAAAGCAGCAGAAAAGTTTGGATTGTAAAATAAACTTGTAAAAGACTGACCTTTTCCAAAATCGAGTTTTTTAAAAAGAAAAATCATCTATAATATGTTTTGTCTTGTCAGGCAATTATGATTTTCCAAGTATGCATTATATTGAACAATCCAAAGGATGGAGGGGGAACGAGCCCAATCATGAATATTGAATAAGATATTCCAGCAGAAATAAATAATTTTTTAATAGTCAAAGTATCCTTTGCCTTTCTTTGCAGGGACAACTCAGGAAAAACTGTGAACAGGAATTCTTGTCTTCTCTTCTTTTAAAAGCTACATGAATGTTACTATTTCTGGTTCATCTGACTTAACCATCTCAGATTTAACCATCTAAAACCAGAAAAATAAACTAGATAAGGTAAAAAATTTTAAGATTAACTAAAAATGGCCATACTTACTTAATTTATTTGTATATTTTAATTTGTTTGCTTCCCTGAAATATTAAGGCCATTTACAATAAATATTCAATATAATGAGACTGGAATAATAACAATTTGAAAAGCTAAGTAATAAAGAAGTAATGAAAGAGTAACATAGCGAGCCCTAGACAGTTTGGCTCAGTGGATATAGCATTGGCCCTCAGACTGAAGAGTCACAAGTTCGATTCTGGTCAAGGTCATATTCCTTGGTTGGAGGCTCCCTGGGCGCGTTCGGGAAGCAACCAATCGATGTGTCTCTCTCACATCGATGTTTCTCTCTCTCTCTCTGTCTTCCTCCCTTACACTCTCTCTAAAAAATCAATGGAAAAATATCTTTGGGTGAGAATTAACAGCAACAAAAAGAGAGAGAGAGAGAGAGAGAGAGAGAGAGAGAGAGAGAGAGAGAGAGAGAGGGAGAGAGAGAGAGAAAAGAATAATGTAGCCACTCTGAAAGTTTTTTTTGAAAGTTATTTTTATCCTTATAAAAAACTAATTGAGCACTTACTATAAGCTTTTTATATTTCAAGGAAAGTATAAAGAAAATGAAATTTATTTGCTCAACTATATGAAGTACTGGAATTCTTCATATTATTTTACAATGATTATTTTGCAGTTACAACAGAAAAGTCAATGTTTTATATAGATGGGAATCTTAAGAAAACCTATAAAAATTATAGACAGCTGATGTTCTATTTCTTAGAGTAGGTGGTGGGTACATCATTATTTTTTATATTAGTCTTTATGTTCTGCATAGATAGAAAATGTTTTGTAATAATATCTATCCATTAAAAAGAAAAAAATATTTGTTTGCTAATATGGATTGATCTCTAAGCTTAAGTAAAAAAGCAAAGTACAAAATACTATGTATTTATGTGGTTTATATGTATGTTATGTATATTTCATATGCACTGAATATTTCTGGATACATGATACATAAAACATCAGTTAAAATGATTTCCTTTGGGAAGGGAAATCAGTGAACTGATGCAGAAGGGAAACTACTTTGTATTATTTGGAGAATTAACCATATGTATATATGTCTTTTTAAATATTTTTAGCAAATATTTTGTCCCAAATAATTTAGAACATTTTTTTCTCTACTCCCAATGCTTCTCTTAATCAAAGATTTCCTCACCATACTAAACATTTCCTAGTCCACCTCAATGTCTTTGTATTAATGTTATTATAAGAGGGTAAGATTTAGAGCCATTAAATTGACTCAAAGTAACAATACCTCCTAGAAGTCACAACACGAATTGAAAATAACTGGCTGAGGAAAGAGTAGAAGTAGCAATAAAATTTTATGGAATTAATTTATATATTTTTGTTACATGCATATAAAGAAAAACATTTTCAAACACAAAATACTGCATTATAGTGCATTCTAGTATTCTTAGGAAAAACTGCAACAGAGCTACAAAAATGAAACAAAATATTCTATGCAATATATACAACAAAAAATAATAAAACACTATGAACTAACACTTCATAAAAAATTAGACAAAGACAAAATAAGTAAAGAAACGCTGTGTTTACAAGCTGGGTTCCCTTAAAAATAATTTCATTATATCCAATAAACGTACTGAATTCTTATAACACGCCAGGCACTGTATTGGCTGCTGGGAACAACCTGCAACTTGTAATCAATTATAAGGTGGAGGCAAGAAGATGCCTAAGAGACAGAAATGTAAATAAATAACTATAGCATACTGTGGGGTAAGAGCTCAGAATTATATCAACTGTCAGAGGAATTCAGATAAGGAATTAGCTAATTCTGTCAAAGGTGGTGTCAAGGAGACCTACCAAAAAGGAGATAACACATGAGATTTTAGCTAAAGTTCAAAATACCGTCAGTTTCCCCACCAAATAAACTGATACAGAGGGCATTTCTGTCAGAAGAACCATCTAAAAGTTCCTCAATGTGTGTGTGTGTGTGTGTGTGTGTGTGTGTGTGTGTGTGTGTGTGAAGTGAGTCAAAAACAGCTGTGTGTATATGTATGTGTGTGAATGTATGTCATGTGTGCATGTATATGTATAGGACTAGCAAGGGGCCTGGATGTAAAAGATTTTACTAAGCAGAATTTTGAAATTAGCCAGATACTTTTAAGCAGGGATATAATATCTGTGTTTTAAAAAACTAATCCAATGAACATGAAAATATCTAAGAGGTCTAATTCACAAAGAAATAATTTATTACACTTCAATAGTGCCATTATATCAGGAATAATCTCAGATCATTCCATGAACTTCAAAAGATACAAAATCAGGGACTCTTTTCCAGGAAAATCCCATTCGTTAAAAAAATCACACACATGCCGAAACCGGTTTGGCTCAGTGGCTAGAGCGCCGGCCGGCAGACTGAAAGGTCCCAGGTTCGATTCCGGTCAAGGGCATGTACCTGGGTTGCAGGCATATCCCCGGTAGGAGATGTGCAGGAGGCAGCTGATCGATGTTTCTCTCTCATCGATGTTTCTAACTCTCTATCTCTCTCCCTTCCTCTCTGTAAAAAATCAATAAAATATATTAAAAAAAAAAAAAATCACACACAAAAAACAAAACAAACAACTTCCCTGGACCAGGCCAGTCTTTCTCTCTCCTATTCTCCAAAGTCAAACTACTTGAAAAATATGCGACTGTATCTGTCTCCACTTTATCTTTCCTACTCACCCCTCAGTCCCCTATGATCTGGTTTATGTTCCTGCTACCTCACTGAAGCTGTTCTGGCAAGGATACCAACAAACTCTTAACTGGCAAATCCAAATGACTATTTTCAGTATACAATGTACTTGGAGTCTGTTTGGCACTTACAGTTGTCAAACTCCCCTTTTCTTGCTTCCAATATACTACTTTCTCCTTCCTTCTCCAATCATTGTTTTGTTGGCTTTTCTTTCTCTGCCTTTTCTTCAAACATTTCCATTTCTGTGACTACTATGGGTTCTATTCTCTTCCCAAAATATTTGTTCTTGTCTCAACTACTCCTATAACTTTACCCACAATATTGATGTGTACATTTCTAGTCATGAGTCCCTCCCATATTTGCTTTTAAACCCTTAATTCTTATCCTTTTTAAAATTCTTAATTGTTACCCTTAAATTCAATTGATAAGTTCCAAAATTCACACTTGCCAGAACCCTAGGAATCTTTCTTAAGTTATCTTTCTTCCTCATCTCCTATACCCAATTGTCTTCCAAATTATATAGATTCTCTATTTAAAATGTTTCATAGCTGATGCCTCCTCTCTTCTGCAGCTACTATGCTATCGTGTCTCATCTTCAACTATTACAATCTTCCTGCCTGTATTAACAGATTTTTCCAGTCCATCCCCCAAAATGAAGTCAGAATGATCTTTCTAAAATCTATTTCACACTATTCCATGCTTAAACCTTTCAATTGCATGACAACTAAATGCAATATGTATTTCTAGACCAGAAAAAAACACACCTATAAAGATCATATTAGAATATTTGGTTAAAAAAAAATGCTATGCAGATCATCACTGGAACATATGAATATGGACTTTGTTAGATAATGGAACTATATCAACATTAAATTTCCTTAATTTGATAATAAGCTGTAATTATACAATGGAATGTCCTTGCTCTTAGAAAATATATAGGAAGGAGTTTAGGAGAGAAGGGATTTAATGTCTGCAACTCAGTAGGAAATGATTCAGGCAAAACAATGATATAGTGTGCATGATGACAGTTAATATACAGAAACGTGGTCAAATTGATGAATCTGGGTAAATGGTATACAGGTCCTGCAATTTCTATTAGTTTGAGATTATTTTAGAAAGTTTTTGAAAAGTTTCAATATTCCCTATTATATGTAAGATAAAAGTTTCAATTCCTTAGTTAGGATTTCCGTGATCACTTATCAAATCACAACTAATGTCCTTCCTTCCAAAACACAGTAATTATAAATTTCTGAACACACCAAACTGCTTTATTCTGTGTAAAACATATCCCCCTCTACTTCCTGAACCTTGTCTATTATTTTTTATAGTGTTCAAACACATTATTTTTTATGATGGCAAACACATTATTTTTTATGATGGCAAACACATTATTTTTTATGATGTTCAAGCCTCACCTCTTCTAATTACACCTTCCTTTCTACTTCCACCTTCCAGACAGAAATATCCACTCCCTTCTTTGTGACCCACTCTATCCCATACAGATTTCTCCCATAGCACCGATCAGACTGCATCGCACTTTGTGGCTTCCAAGTGTGTTTCCAGTTACTGTAAGCCAGTAAGGACAAGGAGTATGACCTATGTTTAGACTCAGGTCCAGCACAAGTGCTTAAACTGGATGCACAGATTAATATGTTTAATGAGAAGGGACACAGACACACACACAATATTCTTGGTTATGTAATATCTGTGTATTTCAATACTTCCATCTTACGAATACTGTAACGTTCTGGTAAAGAGTACAGGCTTCAGAAACAGACCTAAGCAATCTGAAGCACAGCTCTACCTGACTGTAACTCTATCCAGTCACTTTGTTTTTAAGCCTCGGGGCTGCAATATAGTAGTTAATAAACAGTGTCCATTTTATTATTTCTCACTTCACTTATGCCTATAATTTAGATAGCATAAAGTCTCAATTATTCCAAAATTGGAATAATTTTAAAAGTCTGGGTGTTTTTTTCCATCTCCCCAATCCAGTTTTCAATCAACTTCTCAAGGAAAAGAACTGCCTATTTTTTCACTAAGAAGTCAACCTGTTGTCAATCTCTTGTGCCATTTAAAGATGCCACATGAAAATGAACACAAATTCCAATAAAGTTTTATTTCTTGATATTCATAAATATTATCTGCTAAATGTTAGTTTATGGTAGTTTTGCAAACAGCCCATACATCAACTTCAAAATAATGAGAAAAGAATGCGATCACCAAAAATAAAGCAAAACAGAGAATTTCAATATATCTATCAAGTACTCAAAACAAAGAATCGTCAGTGGTGTGAAATGATTCTTTGTTTTGAGTACTTGATAGATATATTGAAATTCTCTATTTTGCTTTATTTTTGGTAAGGTTTGCTTATGGAGAAATATGAATAGCTGATAGCAAAGGAACAAAATATCAAAAAAGTCTATAAAAACATTCCTCTGCCAGAGCAATTTTTTTCCAAAGAAAATACATCAAATTGAGTAATATTAGATGATAAGAAAATGGTTATAAGCATTATAGAATTTCCTTTACAACTAAAAACTATTTCAATTCTATAAAGAAATGGATAAAAGTTCAATAAGTACATGTTCCTTAAGAAAGAAGAGGGTATGGGAAAATTGTTGCTAAAAATTTTTTAATCATATAAATCAGTTTATTGGTCATTATTAAATGTTAACAACAAAATAAAATTAACATATTATAAACATTTACTACAAATGACATTTCCTGAATTCAGAAGCATCAAGTATTAAAATTTAGATTTAAGAACGGCAGGAAAATTATTCCAAATTTTAAGAGAATTCTATCTTGCATTTTACTGAATTACCTTTCCTGTTTAAGAGCATACTCCAGCATTTTGATCCTCCTCACAAGATCCTTCTTCAAATTTTCTTGGCCTTTCCTTTCACCCTGAAGAAATGCAATCTGGGCCTGAGTAGGGAAAAGAAAGATAAAACTCAGCTTAGAGTAATTAATTTTTTTTTAAACTCAGTTGAGGAAAGAACCTTTGGAAGATAGGACAGTTAGATGAAAAAAAACATTTCCTTTACATATCTGTCACAAAGTATGCAAGTATATAGGAAGGCACTGACTGCAAGAAAAAAAGGGGGCTTAATGTATGATTCTGGACTAGATCTGGCTATAAAAGGAAGTCACTGGGACAACTGGCAAAACATGAATGGGGTCGCAGGATTGGAGAGAGTTAACATGTCAATGTTAGTTTCCTGATTTTGATGGCTATATGTGGTTACATAGAACAGTACTTGTTTATAGGAAATAAACCCTAAAGTATTTTGTGGGAGGCTATGGACCATCAGGCTGGCTAGCAACTTGCCCTCACATGGTTCAGGACAAAAATAATTCTTTGTATTGTCCTTGCAACTTTTCTGTCAATATAAGATTTAAAATCTTTTATTTTCAAACAAATACTATGCCAACTTCCTTGCTATGATAAGATACAAGCAATACAATTTAATACCAGCATCATGAATAATGAAGAAACCCTAAAAGTACTGATCATCAGAAACAAAACAAGGATGTTCATTTTTCACCACAAATATTTTACCTTGTTCTGGAGGTGGGAGCCAGTGTCATTAATTCAGAAACAAATAAGTTTAAAAATAGAGAAGAGCAAATTAAATTACTATTATTTGCAAATGATATGAGTGGATACCTGGAAAATCCAATAAAATTAATTGTAAACAATTATAAAAATAGAGGAATTTTAGTAATGTAGGTGCATGTAGAAAATAATCAATTGAAACCTATGGGCTTCTATAAAAACTACTAGTAAAATTATATAATGAAAGGAAACAATCCCACTTATAATAACAAAAATGGTAAGATGATTAGAATAAAATAAGAGCTATGCAGAGAGTATTTTAAATAGTACACTAAAAAGTGCCTGAAACAAATGAGAAGCAAAGCCATGTTCTTAAAAAGAATTACAATGATTTTATTTCTCCCTAAATAAATCTTTAAAAATTATGCAAGCCCAATTAAAATACCAACAGTGTGTTTTTTAAAAGCATCATAGTCCTAGCTGGTTTGGTTCAGTGGATAGAACGTCGGCCTTCAGTCTGACGGGTCCTGGATTCAATTCCGGCCAAGGACACATGCCCGAGTTGTGGGCTCGATCCTCAGTAGGGGGCGTGCAGGAGGCAGCTGATCAAAGATTCTCTCTAATCATTGATGTTTCTATCTCTCCTTCTCCCTTCCTTTCTGAAATCAATAAAAATATATTTAAAAACATCATACACAATGATTCTAAAGTACATATTGTTAGGACTATAGAGCAATACAATCATTAAAGGCCATTTGTAAGCTTCCCCCACAGGAGAAAGGCCAGGAAAAACTTGTTGGACACCAGGAATCAGACCATATAAGGAATTGAAACTGTCCTAAAGACACCTGATTGCACAACTGCATTCCATGAGCATTCCAAGCTCACCAGCCCCCAGACCCACTGACAAGAGCTGCCCACCAGTGACTGCATACAAGGATGAAACTCTAGGTCTTGAGTGCTGCCATCATCATCCCAATGTCCCCTGTGCAGCCCCTTCCCTTTGGTTATTCCATCTGTCATCCTTTTCCTTAAATAAATTCAATTTTTTAATTTTTCTTAAGTACCATCTGAGATGGCTATTTAGCCCGTCTGCACGCATCACCCACGTTAACCTTTCACATATGGAAAAATTAAAAAGCAACAATAAACAAATTATTTAAAAGCCTTAAAATATTTTAAAACTTAAACTTTTATAAGTCACTTAAAAAGTGCAGTGATTCATAAATGGAGACACACATGGTACAATCACAAAACAAAGCCAAGTATATACAGGAATTTAGTTAAAGCTAAAGGTGACACTATATGCACATGATTGGGGAAAATGTGGATTATTCAATAAATTTGATGGGAAGCCATCTGAAAATTATTTCCCACATCAAATCAAATGCCAAATGGGTCAAAAAATTTTAAAGGAGCCCCAAAGTGAGAAGAAAAGTTAGAGTTTGTTTTTGTTTTAATAATCTCAGGGTTAGGGATGCCTTTCTGAAAATAAGACAAAACTCAAAGCCATAAAAGACTAATAAACTTAAACTCAAAAAAATAAAACAGTTACATATGGCAATAAAAAATTGTTGAACAACTATCATAAAAAGTAAGAATTATTTTTAAGCAAGTGTGCAAAAAATAGGAAAGCAGTCATTACAAATCACAAAAGTTTACTTTTTTAAATATATTAACAGTACCTACAAATCAATAAGGAAAAGGTCAGGAACTCAATAAAAAAACAAAGGACATGTTGATTGAAAGGAAATACAAAAGGCTCAAACATATGAAAAAGCACATGCAAGAGAAATGCCAATTAAAATTGCAATCAGTTAATACTGTTAAATGAATAAATGTGAATATTTGATATCTGCAACTCCAAGCCTCATGTATTAGGAGACTCCCAGGTCTCATCTTAGCTTTTTTGTATACGTATGTGTTCTGCTCCTAAACCCAAACTAGATTGGAAGTGCACTATGAGAAAGAACTTGGTTTTGTCCTTCCTTTATTCTTCCTTACAGCAATTTGGACTGTGGCAGGTATTAAATATTCCCTCAAACACCCTATTGAATTGGATGAAAATGGCAGACTTTATTTTCTTATCAGGATACAGCTAAAAACACAATGATAAACAAGGAATCTGGGAGAGAATCAAAAAAGCTAGTGTGTACTAGTCAGTCGGCTTGAGGGCCTATATAAGATTCATACCTCTGTGGGGTAAAGAGCTATGTTCCTTGCTCTTAACAGACCCTTTTGCTTTATTTCTGGCCACCTAATGTGTCACAAATGGTGTAAGTCAGTGGTTCTCCAAGTGTTGTCCCAGAGTAGCAGCATTAGCACCACCTGGGTACTTGGTGGGAATGCAAATTTTCAGACCCCACTCCAGGCCTGTTGAATCAGAAACTGAGGGTGGGGCTGACAGATGAAAGCTGTGTTTTAACAGGTCCTTTAGGTGATTCTGAGCTTAGGTTTGATATCAAGTTTGGTGATGTTGTCTTTAGAAGAAAGGGCTAGCTAGAAGCAATGATTGCATGCCAGAGAAAACCAACTAGTAGTAGCCTGGAACACTCTTAACTCAGATTTCATCTTCTCAGGTCAAATGGCACCTTATCAGTAGAGCCTTTCTTCCCCATTCTACCCTCCCAAGCATTCCATATCCCACTTATCACACTTTATCACAGCTCTTATTACCATCTAACATTTTAAGAACGCATTTATTTATTACTGTTGAGTTGAGCTTCATGTGGGTAGGGTCTGTTATAATCATTGTTGTTTCTCCAGTGCCTAGAACAGGACCTGACATGAAGTAGGCATTTGAAAAACATCTGTTGAATGAAAATATGAATCACTAATGCCAAAATCTAAATTCATAAACACACTAGTACCAGTCTCCACACCACATGCCCTAAGCTGTTCAATCTTAACACCTTTTTCAAAGGTCTGGCATTTCCAGGTTAATAGCATAGCCTCCCCTACTATGCATACACACATCAAAATCTAGGGACATTAGGGCTAAAGTAGTGACAAACAAATAAAACAGAGTTCACAGTCCAGTGAATGAAACATGTATGCTGAATAAAATACATGTGGATTGGTAGCATATGTTGCGTGCTACTAGAGCCAGAAATTATAGGCAAAAGCAGTGAATATACAAATAAAATACAGTGGGATGCCTATTTAACTCTAGAGGCAAGTAAAGAACTGATGTTTAACTCAAAAACTATATCTTATTCCAGTATTAACTCTATAGTTAACTTTATCTTTTAACAAACTAGTGACTTTCCTGAAATTTCCTTATAAAGTTTGTGTCATTTTTATTTATCTAACATTTCTTTCAATCATAAATTTTACTTATTTATTCAATCATTTTTAGAACATAAATGTCCAAAGCACACATTCCCATACATCATATATTCTTACTCAAGAGACAACAATACCATTAAGAGAACAAATTAAAAAGAAGACATGGGATTTGGGAAACAAGAGTTCTAACAATGGAGGGCAGCAAAAGAAAGTTTTAAATTAAGAACTGGCTCACAGGCCAAAATAGCAGGTAGCCTACATTAGAGCAAGGCAGAAAACTCTAGAAATAAGATCAATAGTTGAAAAAAGGGGATAAGGGGCCTAAAAAATTATTTGGTAATTTTCACCACATATAAATTTGTATATAAAGTCTACTGAAGTTTATGGAAACAGAAGTAGAACAATGCTCAAAGAAAATTAAGCCATGAAAAAAAAGGAGGTAATCATTAACTGCAGGAAAACCAAAAGTTGCATAGGAAAAGAAACAATCATAATATACTATTTGGCTGGCTCCTAAATGGGTATTATTTATGTATGTTTACATAAATATAAACAATAATTTTAAATATCTATATATATAAAAGGCTAATATGCTAAGTGTCCAACTGTCTGATTGGTTGCTATGACACGCACTGACCCAACAGGGGGCAGATGCTCAAAGCAGGAGCTGCTGTGATGTGCACAGAGAAATGGCACTGCAGACCTGGCGCCCACAAAGCAACACTCAGCTTTCCCCAACTGGGACAAAGGCCCTGCCACCACCCTGGAGCAACAGCCCACCAAATTGGAGCCAACACTGCTGAGACCCCATGGCACAAAATGTGGCCCACAGCCCAGCCCAGAAATGGTCGCTGTGGGCACCAGGTAATGACGACACATAGCAACACCTGGCTTCTTCTCCCTAGTAATGACTAGCCTCCTTGCAATCTTCAGCCCAGGAACACGACTTGCTTTATAGCCAGGTGCAAACATTTCACACTTTAACAAAATGTCAGTGAAGCGTTTTCCCATGCCTCATCTCATTTGATCCTCACAGAAGTCCTGGAGTAGGTAGACAGGAGACTCGGTGAAATCCTATTTT